AAGTATTTCAGGGCCATCTTAGAGAAAACATCTAGCTCCAAATACTATAAACTCAGCAAAAAAATACTGCAATAAAAATTCTATATTATTTATAAACAACTCTATCTTAATTTGCTGCTCTCTAACAGAGAGGTGGTGGGGAAATTTTGGCAATAAGTTTCCTATTAATAACAAACAAACAAAATAGTAACTCCTGAAAAGTAGTTTTCCATGGAAATTAAGCAATTSTAACAAAAATTTTTCACAAGAGGGACAGAATAATCCATTACATCCCACTATACAGAATGAAAGATATATGACAGGAGACAGTTCCTTACATCATAAATGAGACTCTAAAATCCCATTAGAGGCACTCRTATGAGACAAGACAACCATTTATTTCTCACTGATATTTTAAAATCATAAAAGATCAAGCAATCTAAAAGCAAAGCGTCAAAAACTGAGAAGATTTGTTGTCCTCTGACCAAGAAGGACATAACATTTTCTAAAGACAAAACTGCATAAAAGTCTGTTCATGTGCTCACACATCCTGTTAGAACATCCCTAAATGCTGTGGTGAAAGTACATGAGCAGTGGAAATCATCCATCATCCTGCACTCAGCCCCTCAAATAYCTGCACCACCATAACCTCTCCAAGCTGTGTTATAGTTGCACAGTGGGAACAAGAAATCAATTCCTCTACAAAAAACCTGGCAATGTAATTTAAAGGCTGCTAAAAGTGCTTTAGTGCTGCAAGGCCTTTGAAGATCAATTACAGCAGAGGTGCACGGGACCACGTTTCCTATCTGATGAAAGCACTCCACGAGCCTACAGTGGAAACTTTGCAATGCCTGGGAATACATACCAATAAATTCAGTTTACCCTCAAGGTTTCTAACTTCAGGTTCAGTTGTAACTTATTTAATAAAGACAAATTTCACTGGCTTTTTTATTATTTTTTTGAAAACACCTTCCCATGTTTTCACAAGTCTGCTTCTTTAGAAAATGCTGTGAATATCAGTGGATCAAAGGATAGAAAAGCCAGTATACACAATCCAATTGAATTATAAAGAAAATACCTCTGGGAATGGATGAAAATTAATTGAATTGAAACTGCAATGAACTACCTGTAAAGAGACTAAAGTCTGGAGGAAAAATGGATAATCTGAAACATACGCAAATTAATAGACTGCGCTGTAATTAGTAGTGTAGTTAAATATATTCCATGTTCATGGCAGAAAAAATACTACCTGTTCTAGATAAATGTGAACTTTAGTTAATGATACTGTTGGCAGTCTTACCTTAATTATCAGGCTGCATCCTATTCTGAGATAGCTTACATGTGCTTTCATTCTTGTAAATGACCTTCCAGCTCATTGAGTGCAGTAATGAATCAGGCGGCGTCTACACCCTACACACTCTTGGTTCTCTACCCAATTAATTTGAAAATCAATTGTATTTAATGAAGAGCAAAAAAAAGCATCTTTGGAATTTTCTATTTTAAGGCATGGMAATATAAATGAAAAAAGATTTGTTTGCTATTTACTGTGCACATGTTGCAACAGCACAGTATAGAAATGTTTTCAAACCACTGTAATATTATAGATTCTTAATTGTGTATTGGTCTTTTCACATTCTTCAGTGCATGCACTTAAACATGAGGTGGACTTCCTCCTCTATGGTAATTACAATTTGAAAGCTAAAAACAAAATATAAATGCAAATAAAAAAAATCAGTTAGATAAAAGACACCCTGTAATTATTACAAAGATGATTTTCTGCCATTTGTAATGTGGAAGCAGTTGGGTGAGAGGGAAGATATTAAGACCATGACCAAACAGAGAAAGTCCTACATGAAATGCCCTAAAAGGTACTTGGGTAACACCATTGAGACAATAACAGCACTGATAGTTGATCATACTGTGTTAGAGCAATGACAACTTCATGGAATGATCTCAGGAAAACAAAATATATTTGCAGGAGTCTATTTGGCCCTGACCAGGTTGCACCAGGGATGATGTACAGGTATGCCTGCCACTCCAGTAAGAAAAAAAAGTAAAAAAGCAAAGTTGTCAGTTTCAGGCATTTTAAAATTCACAATAATGGCAATTCTAAATCCTACATTACCAACAAAGAGCTGTTTTATTCTGTCACTTCATCAAACTACATACAAAATATTTAAATGAATGTTTTCATGTTAGTAAAAATATTCTCTGTTTAGTACTATCATGACATAAGTCATGGTATTGCTAAAACAATGTGTCATGATAAAGCTAAAATAAACAGGGYACATTTTAATTTTATTTTAAAATTACATCAACCTGATTTCTCTGTTTTGTGCAAGTGCTTCTYCAGAGGACTTTTCTTGTTTTAAACTAATACATGAAAAAAACCAACCCCAAACTTCATTTCCCCAGGCTCCTCTAAAAAAGAATATCTAAGTATTGGTATATTATTATATATCAAGTGTTTCTATAGTAAGTATCATAGTAAAAATATTTTAAGGCAAATCTTGCACATGCCATCACCACAAGCACATAAATAAGCAGTTAATTTCACATGCTATCAAATAGATACATTTTAATTGTCAATTATTTGTGCAAGTCTKGGTCACAATAGTCAGATATCCAAGATATAAGTGAAACAGCAGGGCTGACAAATGAATCAAGTGTGACAGGCTGCCTTCATGCTCTCACGTGCTTGGTTTTGCTATGAAGGGTCTGACGACAGCAAAAAATAGAGGAGGGGTTTTGGACAATACATTTTTTTTCATCTACAAATTTAAGATTAAATGAACCCACTAACTACCTGTCTGGGAAAAATTAAAATGTAYTAATTATCTGGTCAGCACTATGTAAACCCCACCATTTATTAGTTTTATAGAAGGTCCCCAGATTAGAAATCCTCCTAGCAAAATTTCTTATTCATTATTACCTAAAAAAGACTGTTACAGAAACCATGTCCCCTTTTTAGAATTCACAGTGTGTTCTGAGGTAGACATTTCCATGATGTACCAGCTATATATTTCAAGACATCAGACAAGCTGCATTTACAAGCTACCAGCAATCTATTATTATTATTTATCTGCAAGTAGTAAAAGCTTTACAGAGTATTTTGCATTAACAGACCACAGCTRAAGCAAAGGCCTGTTAAACCCCTGAAAAAAGCATCACACTAAGCAGWCTATAATGAGAGCTTCTTGGGAATCCAAAACCCACTCTTTTCTCTTCTGGAACACACAGAGGGATGGAAGAAAGGAGCTGTAGGATGTACACTAGAGAATAGAACTGTGAAGCACACAGTTATTGTGTGCTCAACTGTTTTCCTTCTGAATCTTTATTAGGGTTTTATTCTTTGTATCTTTATTATGCAAGCCTGGGATCTGGTGTCCAGACCAACACACTCCTGAACYATGAACCAATAACAACTGCATTTCAATCAGACAAATTTCTTTAAAGAAAAACAACTGAACCAAAAAAAAAATATAGCTTACACTTAATTTCTCAATATTAAACACAGTCAGGGTAGCTGACTGAATTCTAGTAAGATCAAGAGTTCAAAAGAGTGCCTGATTTTAACACAAGAGTCTTTCAGTCTTGTGAGGGGTTATTTTTCCTTCTGTCTAAATGCTGCTCACCATAAGAACCACAGATAAAACTAAGTCTGGCACTTGTGATCTTAGAGGCAGCAGCAGTAAAAGCAGCTCATACTGCAGTGATATATCAGACTCTGCTTGCAAAACAGAAATACAGACAACTACTGAAGAAAATTGTGAATACAGGATTAGAACTGTTTGAAAATTGATTAGGCTCTTCTCTTAATAGTTTGGATCAGTGTCTGGAGATACCTAAGCTGCTGTCACTCGAGTTTCACCAACTCAAAGGAACTGTGAATTTACACATAGTTTAAGGACCTCACAGCTGTTGACCATGAAACTATTAATATATAGATAGGTGAAAACGTTACTTAATTTATTTTAAACTGTAAAACCAACTACATTACCAACTACATTATTTTATTGTAGTGGCCTTATAACACAACAGACACAGCAAGTAATTGTTAAAGCTTACAACATACATTTCAGTCTCAATGGAATGCAACACAGGTCTGAAAATAAAGTGTAATTTTTATCTGTCCTGGCTAGTTAGAGCTGCATCACTCTCCTGGCAACACAGAATGAAGTGAACAAAGCAATCCCCTCTCAATCTACTCACACACAACACTATTTGCAGCYCACTGTTGTACTGTCAAGTTCCTGGAGTCATTATCTCTAAGTTGTCAGAAATTGGAGCTCATCTGTGTAGTCTGTGTGCCCTTCAGGTTCTGAAGGTTATCTACACAGCAAAAAGGTGGTGAGAGAGAAGCAACCATGCACTCCACAAGAGAGGAGTCAGAACACTTGACACTGAGATGAAGCAAAGCATGTAAAACTTGGATTCTCTGACAGGATTCCTTCAGCAAAAATTCACTTTTGCTGATAATAGGAAGGAAAACTAAGTACAATGCTGATGAAGACATTTCAGTGTCATTAACACTCCTGAGACCTGAGAAAGACACTAAGTTCTCACAGAGRTTGAGAAGCATCGTAATTCCTGTAAGTGGAAATGCTGCATTGCAGCTGAGTACACCACAGTGCAATCAGATTTTTTTTGTCCCTTTCCCAGGCAGAGGCCTTATATAACATCTGTGTTTACAAGGTTTCACTTCATGTTCCTATTCCATTATAGACCTTAAAAGGTGTTGAAAGGATATATAGCTCATCCACCTAACCACTAYGCCGTAAGGAAACCACACAAAACTGCTCCTCTGAGACCCACCTGTTCCTTGCTCTAGGCCARCAATCACACTGTGCACAGCTCTTGCCATCCTGTGGAAGGAGATGAATCCCCTCTAGAGCTCAAACTTCTGGCATTCACACTCTTTCTGTATTTGTTTCACTCAATTTCAAATGTGAATTGCACAAAATATGTCACCAAAAATTCTCACACATTTGTTTKAAGTCTTAGAGGCATTTTGTATTTACCTTGTTTTTTAAAAAGGTTGCTGYGTACAATTTCCTTCATGGACTGCACTTTCTGCTTCTGTAGTTTCACTGGTGGAATGCAAGTGTAGAATTCATACAGTAGTTGGCTGTAGGACAGAAAAGAAGAGCAAAAGATGTATTTCTAAACATTTGTCTTTTTTAAACTTGCATTTATTTCTATATCACAAATATTGACAAGACAGCAGTAACAAACGTGTGTCCAGGGACCCACCACTGTCTTGGTCAAATAGGAACTGGTGTAGTTTTGTGGACCTAAACTATAACCTGGTCTATGAGAACTCATTGCTAGGAAATGTTCAAGAGTGACTCACCTCAGTAACTTGGCATCAAAAACCTTCTCAACATCGTGAAGGACTGATGGGATGTACTTCAAGGCAGCAACCTGAATTGAGATACAGAACACGTCAGTTCTGTGTGTTTGTACATGARCATAAACAGCACTCAACCAAATACACACAAAACAAACTGTTAAACTTGGACTTCTTTCCCCTGACTGAAATTTTATATCACRTTTGAATATTAGTTTCAGCAGGGCTTTTATACTAGGGATATACAGAGGAATTTAAATACAATGGTACCAAGTGGATCTTATTCTCTTTGCAGACCAGTGAAAGGGTTCAGGCTTTGTAGATAATCTCTTTATAGCCCACTAAAGTGTAATTATGATGCAAATAATTAAACCAAGCACTGTTCAAGGCCGGAGCTGTATCAATTCCATCCCAGGAATGTGGCATGCAGGAGGCAGAAGTCAGGGTAACAGTCATCCACCCACCCCAGTGCCACCCTTTCTAGGACAGATGGAAAGGGGTGTAAGTCCCTAACCAACCATCTGCAGTGAAGCTAGGCGATGGTTCATCTTTTCCTATCAATTTCTGAGGAATGTTTTGACAGCATAGTGAGATAACCAAACCTTACCTTGACAAGGGTAAGAGACAAGTTACTATTCTTACATGGACAAGAAAACTTCAGCAGGCAATCTTCAGGCTCAAGATCAGCACTAACACTTTAGGCTAATATCCATGAAGACCACCTTGCAGTATTTTACTTCACTGTGCAGCTCTAGGGTATAAATTCCTACTAACATKTTGCTGAAAACTGAGTTACAGTGATGTGAAATTTTCTATTAGTGATCTGATAGAAGGCTAKCTAGCTTCACTGTTTTTATTCTGTATATTTATGCAGCAATCTCCTTGTTATAAATGTAGTGTCTTCMCTGAGAATGAGAGGGCTAGAATGAAGACAATCAGAGCACAGCTTTCTTTGGCACTCTTTTAGACCTTTTAAACTCAATAAAGGTGTAATTTTATTTGTATGAGCTTCTACTGCAGTAGCCAATTCAAAAAAAACAAACAAAAAATTTTCAAGTGCTGATTGAAAAAGAGAGAGGTTCATCTGCAGCAAGGGTGAATACAGTATTTCAAATAGATTCAATGCCAGCCTAAGATGCTATCTGTACAGTCATTCTCCTGCAGATCTGACCCYACACTCATACACAAACCTGGAAATGTCAAAGTAATGTTTAAAAGCTGTTGCCACTTTGACAAAGAAATTGTATCTTCTACCTAGCTTGGGAATAGCCCCAGGATATTCAAAACATCCATATAAATATCTGTTTTGGGCTAGAAACAGGCTCCAGCTTTATTTCAGTCATGTGTTGTTCCTCACTTTTCAAACAACAAGCACTGCATGAAGAGACTGCACAGCAACATCTGAATTTCATTTCATRGCAATTCACAGGTACTGGGAAAGATGTTTGATAAAAGACAGCCCACCAGTGGCCACAAAATATTTCAAGCAGTGCACCACTGACACCTGGTCTATTGTGCTGTCTGACTTTCACATATTCCCTGTTCTACACTTGCATGAGSACAGAAGTGGGAAGGATAGAGCTACCACCTCTCTGCAGATCGAGAATTCCAGCTGAAGTACAATAACGAGTATATCCCCTGCACTATTTTAGACTCCCAAGTTTCATTTGCAATAATTGCTTCAAATGATGCACTATGGACACAATTGAGCACTGCCCTTAATGAAGTCATAAAATCTCCTAGTCAGCAGTACAAGATGTTCTGCATTCTTCAAACCTTAAGAGATTAGTTTTTTAAGCAGGATACAGATAAACCCACAGCACTGCAGAAAATTATTTCTTACATATACAATATACTGTTAAATTTATTTTAACCTTTACTCCTGACCAAGCTTATTTTTAGCTGCCCTCTTTTTGCAGCATTACATTATACATATTCATGAAATTCGAGTACCCATGAGATGAAAAGTACATTCGAAGAAATCACTGGTGCTCTGTTTCTTAATCTAATTGTACTTGCCATCAAGGCAACTTTAAGAAGTCACTGTGCCATCCCYCATTGTGCACCACAAGCCAAGCAGCACTGTCAGTACCTTTCCAGGCTTATTCTCTCATAAGAAAACTGTACAGAGATRCATGAAGTCCTTAGAATCTACTGCAGGAGTAGGATGGGTCTAAACTGTGTGGGAAAGAATGAGAGAAAGGCAGCATCTTCCTATTRAATTACTTTTCATACTTTTCAATGCCACAGACAGTTTCTTTTTCCTATGTTTCAATGACCTTGAGAACACATCATCTAAGGTTTCTGAAAGCACACTCAGCATTCGGAGTTATGCTTTCTCAAATCAGTGCCTAGGAGCGAGCTGGGGAGAGCTGACATTTGCAGCAGACAAGACCATCTGTAGGTCAAATGTAGTGTGTCAGTTGGGGAATGGAACAGTTGGAAAAGAAGCAGGGCCTTGATTTGTAAATTAAGGTTGAGAGCACAAGCTKGTCAATGAAAGGGCACACTAACAGACTACAAGTCAGAAGTCAACAGTAGGACAACCTAAAAAAACAAATAATCTRAAATTTAAAAATAATTCGTTCAATTTTATTCCCCAGAAAGAGAGGGTTATTAAAACAGACACAAAGYACATATGCTGGAAATGACKTTTTTTTTYCCCACTGAGTGTTCAGAGAAARGAAAGAAAGAACTGACACCTCCCTACTTCCTCTCACCCCCAGAGCCTCCCTCCACCAAGCTATTAGCAGGTTCTGGGAACTGATTTCCAGGTTTCCAGATTTCAAGGAATCTCTATCCTAGAAGTRTAGATTTCATGGAAAAATATCTCCAAAAATTACAAAATTTGCCAGCAGCGGCTACAGAAAAGTAACTGATAAATGCAAYAAAGCTGAAACATTTTCCCTGCCAAAATAAATTAAAGAAAGGTTTAAGTCTAGGACCTAAAAAGCCCTACCACCCTAAAGACAGCATAAGTTCTGAACTAATTGTTTCAAATAATTACAAGAATAACCTGTAAAAAACTCTTAAAAGGACGAATCCTACACCTGTACATTGAAACTTGAGTGATGAACTTAAAACACCACAATCTCCACTACAAGGGCCAGCCTGACAGTACCATCCCATGACCTGCACCCAGGCCACTCTGCAGCTCAGATGGTTGCTTTTAAACATCAGCCAAGTTGGGATATTGAAAATACAATCCTAATTGTGGTTTAATTTCTTCATGCAATGCTGAAGTTGAAAAGCATTCTGTCTGCATCTTTAAACAAAAAAAAAGAGAACTTAACCAACTCCAGAAGTTTGGTTTATTTTTTTTTTTTTTAAGGCTAATGTGCATTAACATGTACATTTCCAGTGCATCAACAATAAATTAACAATTCACTCTTCAGCTGTTCAAAGCTTATATGGGCAGTGCTGAAAAACAGAACCAGATATCTGCCCCTCTCAAAGCTCAGGCACTACAAGTCAAAGCCTCAATCCACTTCACCCAGCTTTAGCACAAGGACTGAAAAGAAGATTTTTAACTTTTTGTAAACCTATACAGCATTTAATAGATTAGGAAGCAAGATTTCAGTCAGTAGATAAAGTTAAATTGAAACAATAAAGTGCTTCTGGCACAGATGAGGCTGTTCCATATAACATGTAATTTTATAAACAATTCTTTCTTCAGTAAATTAATTTTCAACGCAAGTCTAGCTGAGATTCTATCAGTAAAAGTGATTGGGAAATCACTACTCGCTAAAATACTGATTTCCAAATGAAAAAAAAAAAAAAAAAAAAAAAAAAAAAAAGGAGGCAGAGACCAAGAAATCTCAGGTTTCTAAATAATTCTTAAAATAATCTACAGTTAAACCTGATAGGGATTTGGACAATTAAGGATGAAATAAGAGTTAAAAATTCACATTCTGCAAAGTAGTTCAAGTTTCAATATCCTGAGAAACCCAATTACTTCAGCTTTCTTCAGGGTGCCTAAAAACTCCTTCTCTGATATCTTCAAACCATAATCTACTTGAACACATTCAAGTGAGCCTACCAATCCATGTTCCACTTATCAATGATAATTTCAAGTGTGACAGATTAAAGTCAGTTTTAATCTTCTGATTATTCCTGTATTTTTCCAACAGGMTCTCTGAACTTTCCTCTCTGGCTATGCAAACTGTAACACCTATGGAATCCCATGAGTCTGCAGGATCACTCAAACCACCTGTCCCTAACTCTACAAAGTTAATTTACACTACTACAACATCTATCATAGTCACCTCAAATTTCCCAAGGGAAATCAGTGTTGAATTTAGACAGAGAGGCAGATTTATGAATTTCTTTCTTCTTTCTCTTCCCTCTCAGCAGAAATTAWCTCCATTTTCTGGCCCACATCCACTACTAGAATCTCAAGTATCATCACTGCAATCTCCTCCAAAGAGACACAAAAGCACTATCCCTTGTGAAAGCTGTGGCTGACTTTCCTATGGAGTTCATGATGAAGCAGGAGGGAGTGTTAACTTTAATTTTGTTCCCCCCATTATATTTCTTTCCAGAAGCTGGCATTAAACTACAGTTGGACACTTCTCATTCCATTCCTCTCCTATTAGAATTTTATAACATTAATACTGTAGTTTTTATTTAYTGTACGTAAAGAAATCTCTTTGTAGGCTTCCCTCAGAGACACAGCTGTGTGAGTCATCAGGAGTTGGAAAACCAGAAAAGTGTAGATATAAACCAGCATTTCACATCTGCCATGAAATGCTYCTGCTAAAACAGCAAACTTACAGTACCTTATGCAGATATAGATACCCAAAAGCYTACTAGTGCTTCATGGTTTCATAACCATAAACAGGACCCATCCTACACAAGTGACAACACTCATTAAAAATCAAAAACTTTAATTTTCAATATGGTATTGAGCAAAGCATAACTGTTTAATTACCACTAATTATGAAATATGCGAACATGCTCTTCAAATTTGCTAAAGGTTTTTTCTCTTTCGTCCTTCTAAGAGATGCTCAGTTCTGTTTACTCAAGGTTCTGCTATTTCTTAGAAACATCAACCAAAATTTGAGGCATTTTTGCTAAATAGGTATAACATTGAGAAAYGACATTAAACATGCAAATATGGAAATCAGGGTAGGCACAGCCATCATTCCTCAGTGCATGCAACACCACAATGCCACTGGCAYCACAACCTGTTTTTAAACACTCCCACCAGCCTTTCAGAGGCACCATTGCCACTTGCATACCCAGTAAGAGTTAAGGAAGAAAAACCAGAAAAACAGTTTTCTAYAACCCCTTCTTGTCACTCCCAAGCAGAAGCTACCCTGCTCATTAGAGRAAACACAGATGGACAATCCCACACAGCCACTCTGAGATCAGGCAGGGCACAATGCAGTGACATGACACACTCTCCCAAAGAGCATAAAATCCTCCAAGAGCCATTTCTTAATGAGCACAAGTACCATAAGAGGAAACATTATTGTATCAACTCTTTCAGTATTACTTTAAAGATGCTTTTTCTTCTTCACAAGTTCTTCCTGCTTCTAATGCAGTATTCAAATGTATAAACTATTCCCAGGAAAGCCCCTACAGAATTATCAAATAACAGTGTATCTGATTGATTTYCAAATGCATTTAGAATGTTACTGTAACCATGGTATTATACAATTAACTCAGTATTTAATTTTTCGGCTCTTTTGCAGTTACACATTAACACTCCATAGAAAGTGTCAGCTAACACAAATCTCAAGATCAGCCACCTGAGGTTTTATTCAAGACAGAATTTTTCACTGGCTTCCACTTCTAATCTGAGTAATATCAAAAGGAATCAAAACATGAAACCAGAGGAAAATGCAAGCCAAATAAATACAATGAGTTTTTAATAGACAATATATGAAGCATCAATATTGCAGCTGCATTTTACCCCACAGGAAATCTTGATGATTTTCATCTTCATAAAGAACGGCAAATTATCTTATATTAATGATGTTAATAGCTCCTTTTTTTTATCTAGTTTTATTTAAAGCATCAGATTCTGAAGTGTTAGAACAACTAAGATTGACATGAATGGCACAACCTGATCCTGTTTTCCGTAAGTTCCAAAAACTGATTAAATTTATTTTTCCAACTAAGATGGTGGAATCCCTGTTAAGCATTACCTGAAGAAACTCAAGAATTAAACATTCAGGTCCCACTGGAGGCTTCATGACATTAGATTGCTTGAAAGATTCCAACATCTGTGTCTTGGTTCTTTCACTCACTACAGTTATGGAATTTCTGTAAATGTGTCTTGTCCTGACGCTTTCAAACAAGGCTACAAATTTATTAGACAACCTGGTCTTCCAAAATAAGGGAATTACAAGAGAGACATAGTAGATAAATTTCCTGACTGCCTTTTCCTCGATTTAAAAAGAACAACAACAACAACAACAACAACAACAAAAAAAAACCACCATATAAACCCCATTAAAAAACCCAAATTCAACTGGTTTTGAAGCACACACCAACCTGCAACAAAATGGCAGTTTTATGCTGACTTTTCATCAGGTTGTTGATGGATTCAAAGAGTCTCCTCATAGACTCTTCAAATTCTGTTTGTTCTTTGCCTTCATATAATCTGTTGAGAGATGAATCAAGTTATCCTTTCAGAATCAGAGTTTCATCATCCCAAATATAACAGATTTAACATTAAATATATATTTCAGAAGTTGATCCAATATTACATACGTAAACATTTCCCCAATGGTTTATAACTGCTATTCACTGTGATGTGTAGGAATCCCACAGTTTGAACACTACATAACTACTTGCAATTGTTTTAAAAGCCTCTAAAGCATGACACCTCCCAGATTTGAGCTTATGTAAGTCATTTTACTTCCAAACTAAGTTATATGCCAAAAAAAAAAAAAATTGATTATTTTCCCCACTACAACTGATCTACTCTAGGATATTTTTCACAAATTATCATTATTTCTGTCTTTTGCTGCTATTGCCACTTTTTAAGAGCTATTTTTACTGGCCCCATTAACCAGTCTGCTTTTTCAAAAAAGTCTCTATTTGACATTTAAAAGTTTAAAAGTGCATTTAAATTGAGCTCACTCCATTATCTCCCCATTCCCTGTCCTAAAGTTTGAATCTCTCAGATTATCTCTCCTGTATTGCTCATATTGGTTCTTAGCACTAAACACTGCCTTACATAAACAGTAAAAACACTGGTGACATGTGAAATATGTGAAACAGCTGTCGAAAGTTAAAGTAAAACAAGCTAAGAAAAAAGCCAAGATGACAAGAGAGCCCTGATACTGTGAGCTAAGTGCTGCCTCTTCTGCTCCATCAGAAGAGAAAAATCTCTTTTTAAARTTATGTATTACAGTGTCATTCGCTTTTCTTTTCAACTTGAAATGTAAGACTGCCTACAATAACAATATTTTTCCCATGAATTTAGAGATTCAGATCTCTAGTTAAGTAGGAGTAGATACATGCATCTAATCACCTGAATATGCAACACATTGCAATAMCCTAGTTTGTAACAGATTGTCCAACGTACACTTTTTGCTGTGAGATAAAACAAGGGATTAAAATGGGGACCAAAGTTCTCTCTCTGCCTTCTGACCTTCAGCCAGACARGAAATTTTCCATAATCCTCTATACAATGGTTGCTTCCCCAAAATTCTAATGTCCCCTTCTGCCATGACACTTCTGATAAAAATATAAAGCTGTATTCTGTTATTCTGCTCTCTGAGCATCATCTCCTTCTTTACAGCTTTACACCTTGTTTACCTGCATCCATTCCTCCAATAGGAAGTTCCTAGGGACAATAATATTKCTAAGGTTCTATCTACAGCAGCAAATACCTTTGGAATCTACTCCTATTTCAACCAAAACTTCGTAATTCAGCAAGTAGATTTAATTTTACAAAACTGTAAATCTTCATGGATTTCCTCACCCCCTCACCCCCAATAGGGAGTGGGAATAACAGAAAAAAATTGTAKTATAGCTCCCACTGAGCAAAAGACAGGTAGAACAGAACATCCTCCTGTTCTGGTGAATACCAGCYACAAACACAACACCCATTMTCCCTACTGGCCTGAGGTTGCCAYTGCCTGGCTTCTGCCCCTGCTTTCYTTCAGTCACAGAGCCAAGGGACATCAGAGCAAGCTGTGGGGGGAAACCAGCTCAGGATAAATGGAAACAGGTGAAGCAGAAAAGAACTGAGAAAAWGGGTCTGTGGTATATGGGGAGAGTAGTTACCAGTGTGTATTTTTCTCCTTCCACTTTTCATCCCCTTTGTTCTCCTATCCTTTTCCCCTAAACCTGAATACCACTTGTAAACATTACACCTCCTCTGTTTGCCTGAGCTACACACATCCAGTCCACTGAGCCTTCCCTGTAAATTCCTTAACAGGAGATCAGAAACTCTAAATTCATTTGGGCCATGATCACTGAAATGACACTGTTCCCTGCCCAGTCTGAGGGGCTGAACGCCGTGTTCTCAAGGACAAGTCTCCAGCCTCCAGCCATCTGTTGCCACGTTTGGCCATCCTCTGGTYTTAGGCCAAGCCACCTGACACAAAGAATAATCACCCTTTGAAACCTGCTGCTGTTACTAAATACATCTCTGGAACTTACACTGAAAATCAGAAAGCAGAGTTTTGAATATTCCCTCTCCAAAAAATATCTCAGCCATATCTGTATTTTAGACCACTTGCCAGCTTTTATGTTTTATTTGTAAACAAAATTAACTCTCTGTTCTATAATTAACTTCTCCTTTTTCTCAGGTCTCCTTTTATTTCTGATGTTAGACAGCTAATTAAAAGGCAATATCTGAGTACTTACTGTGAAAATAATGACCTTGATCTAACAATGAACTTGAAGACATATTCCAGTGCTTTCAGAGTTCTTAGGATAGGTTCACATTGCTCCCCTCGGCTGGAAGTATCCAAGTACGTCTTCAGAACAGTCATTAATTTCCTGAAGTTTAAAAATATTTTTAAAAATAAATTTGATTATTAYTTTTTAAATTATTTTCTTTCACTTTTTGGCCACTCTAAATATAAGTTCATGCTTGGTCAAGCACATACAACAAAACAGACTGCATGTATTTCTGCATTTATCTTGCACAAATTCTGTCAGTATAAACAAACAAGGAGCAAATTCTTAGCTGCACAAGCAAGAGAGCAATATGAAATCCCAGGAGAGCAGCATGACCTTACAGTCCTGGAAACACCTTTAGAGAAGTTTGTAATACACATGCACAAGGTAACACAAAATATTACTTCTGCCTACCTACACTGAGCAGTGATTAAAACACCACTACATGCTCCAATTAACTAATTAGCATGTACATATTACAATATTCCAGTACACAGCAATTTATTGAAAATATTTATTTTATTGAAACACTTCCTTACTTTACATCTAAAAGCAACATTTTGCTAAACACAGAGCTTGCTACAAAAGTGTAGAAGATCATATAAAAGTCCCTTTTTTATAATTATAGAATCTTCTTAAATTATTAAGCCAATATTAATGATGTAATCTTAACRTACCCATAAGAACTAAGATAAGGGTGGTGGGGTTTATCTCCTACATCACTACAAAAATGGAGACCTGCCCCAAACAAAGCCAACAATGAATTCTGTAACTAATACACCTCCCCAGCTTAACTCATATTTCAGGACCAAACTACTGTGCTTTCAACCTCTCAGCCTCCTGGGCATTACATCCATTGTGTGTTTCCATTTACTCCTTTTTAGAGCTTCTCTGAGGTGGAAAAAAATTTATCCAACTTGTATGTAAGGTGAGTCCACTCTCAGAACTCTCTAAAAGCCAGGAGAAAGGATTACTAAATAGGAACTGAAAATATTGATAACAGCTTGGCCAACCAACCATATCATAACATGGTTATAATATGTCTGGGACACAGTATTTCCTTCCTGCTTAAGAATTGATCAACACACACTTGCTTTTTTAATAAATGATTCTGGAAACAGAGTAAATCTTCCATGATACACATTGCATCAATAATGCCAAGAAAACACATGATGTTGGGAACAATCATAAACATCATTATTTTGCCTCTACCATATCGATTAAGTCATCAGAACCTCCCAGCCAGGTAAGTTTTAGAAATATTTTATGCAAAAAGGCTGTCCTGAGAGGTTCTGTAACCTTCCTTCTCTTCTTTCACAGTAATACAAAGCATTAAATTACATGTGCTTATTACTCATGGAGTAAGAGAGGATTAAAGAAGAGCACATAGTTTGTGCTTGAGCATTCTGAGCCCACTAATGCTCATTTCAACTTTTTAGACATGTGAGAAATGTCTGATTTTGCCCTGCTGCCTTTCAACTCTAGGAAACTCATGCTCTAGTGCATGATTTGTGTGACATTTCCCGTTGGGTTAGAACTGATGCAAATTCAGCACAGGCACTAGAAGATATTCTCCATTATTCCAAACCATCAGCTCAGGTCTTCCATGTACAATTCATATTGCAAATTAAATTTCTGTTTCAATCTGCCACTCCATTAAGCTTACAGAACAAGACATCAGGTAGATTAAAACCTAACATCTATCCTGCTACAGCACATCCCAGAGACCAGCACCAGCTGAAGATGTTACCTTCCTTCATTGTGCAGGCATTTTATCCTACCATCATCTGCAAAAGCCTATTCTAAATAAAGTAGGAATCCAGAATTAAATTTAGTTTATAACATGCCTTCACAGTTTTTATTCTCTTCTATGAGTCCATATCTTCCCATCTGGGCATGATGTGGAAGCTCCAAAAGTTGAAAACAAATAAATAAATAAATTAAAAACTCACCACAAGTCCATCCAGCTGCTCACTGGCCTGATCACGTAACAAATACTAAAACTCCATTTYGCAGCAGGACACATAACAAATACCAAAATTCCAGTTCACTGCACTGAAACCCTCTTGATGTAAAATCAGACTAAAATGCATATGAAGACTTGACAGCTCCCAAACAATTCTTTTCCCCTTGAGTTTTCTTGTGAAAAAATACGTGGAAAGCTATGTAAATGGGTTAAGGACATCCTCAAGTCCTCACCCGAGGCATTTCAACTTGAGGCCAGGGATATAAAGGTGGAAGCTTTACAGAAAGTATCTTTTGATAAATTTGACAGGTTGCAGGTGAAGTGCTCAGACACAGCAAAATCCAGGCAACAGAAAATAAATGCCAAAGCATCATTTAACCCCAAATCATTTGCTATTGGTTCATTAATTCCACTTATAATCAAATGTGTCTCAGARGCAGATAAGCAAACAGCAGCATCAAAACAACAGTCACCACTAATTACATCAGAAAATTCAAAAGCAGGATTTACTTTATATTATGTGATGGTGGAGTTTTAGGGAAAAAAGAGAAAGAAAATGAACTTACTTGTATGCCAATGTTGCACTGAAATGCTGTTGGATATATGCTTCCAAAACAGTGTTAAAGTGYTGAAACTTTCGGTCTGCAATGAGCCCTATGATATAGATCTAAAATGGACAAGGACAAAATTAGCCAAAGTTACATTTCAAATTTAAATATTACTTTTCTAAAAATATTTCTGAGAAATAACTATTTAAGTTTTTAAAGAAATTTGATTTTCAGTCAATTAGTAATATTCCCCTGTTCTACAAAGACTTTAAGACTAATTYCCTGAAATAAAAAGCTTGATAATTTGTTCAAAATAATAAGGTTCTTTATTTTGGCAAACAAAATCATTGGTGCTGGTTCTTACCAAGGCATCAAAGACAAGGATGTCATACTCATTACTGTGGGAGTATTCCATCATGATGTTAAACAGGGCATCCAATGTATCCTGGAGAAACTATAGAACAACATGAAAGGACAAACTTTCACTTTCATGAAAGGTAACAAATACAACTTGAAAACCTCACAAGAAAGTTTTCTGATGGTACACTTTGTTCCCCTCAAGTTAGAATTTTACTACGTTTACTGAAGTATCTCTTAAATTCAGAAAATATTTTCAAGGATTTAGGCTCTAGTTACTTTAATTTTAAGAACCTACATGCTCAAACTCATGAGCAATCAATAATACATGCCTAGCTCAAAGCTTATGGAAAAGATAAAAATATTATATAAATGACATAACTTGTTAATGCTGCATTCCCAGTTCCTTAGTGACACAGATTAGTAGTTGCTATTTTCACATATACATTATGATTAAGAACTCTCTTCCTGCTTCTGTGCTCTGATTCAAATTCTGCTCAAAATCAAAGAAAATACCTCGGTGACTTGGGACACAAATCTTTGGTTAAAAAAAATCCACTCCTCTTTCTTCTTTTTTTTTTTCTTATTTTAAATTATCATTCCTGTTCTCGAGAGAGATATCTAATGTTTGTGTTTAAAGACACAAATGTAATAGTCTCTGCCATTTTCCAAAACAATAGCAATTTTTTATTCATATTATGCTCATTAAATTMAGAAAGTGCTTTGTTAGGTACAAAGCACTTCTTGGTTTTCATATCAACARGTAAATTAATATTAAGAACAGAAAAGAAAGCAGTAGGAATTGTTAGTGATATTTCAGATAGAGAAAAGGAAACAGATGAATAGAGATTATGGAAAATATTTTAACACTTCACCTCCTGGCAGTAATCTTGCAAATTCCCCAGCCCAACAATAGTCAAYACCAGAGATATTTGAGATCAAAAAGTAGAAGAAAAGCTGGCCAGCACTGTGAAAAACCTGTCCAGGTGTTTGCTTTCTTKCTCCCTCTAAGGAAGAGCTTTGCTCATGTCCTTTGCAAACTAAYAAAGGCATTACACTGTATGAAGGGGCATGAAGAATAACTATTATTAGAATAGCTATTTAAAGATATACCTTCACAACTTCCTCTCCATCCACGATCTTCAGCTTTTCCAGGTKCTCCTGGAGGAGCTCTGGCTTCATGCGCCATTTCAAGAGGCCCAGCAAGCCCACTAACAGAAAATAAATGAACAGACATTAAAATTGAAAATGTGATTTATCAATTTGYGCAAATATCTTCTTTCTTGAGTTCCCACCTGTTTAGAAGATACATACCATTCTGAGTTAGCTTTGTAGAACAAACAAGGGTTGAAATGCAAAATACATCTCGTGAGCTGACTGAAAGCCCTCCAACAGTACTTGAGCTCCTGACTAAGGTCCCTCCTTTGTTTTCTGTGTACTGACGTGTAAAAGGCAATGTCAGATAAGCACCAGCATCCTCCATTTTTTTACTGTCCCCCTGAAAAAAACAACAGACCATTCAGATTTTGCACAACTGGATTTAAAATTAGACTTCTTTTGTACTTTCTAGAGAAGTAAACAAAACTAAGGTGTAGGAAGGGACTATGAGGGGTGACACAAATGGCAAAGCAAGAGCCAATCTCTCATTAAAATGTCAGTAGGGAGCACAACAGACTATTGAGTATCAACTTGAAGACTGTACACATGATAGAGACAACATGATTATGATGTCTGCACCCAACTTAAAAGCAGAAAGCAGGACTGAGTAAGGAAAGAATAGCAGCACTATTGTGGTATCCCCATTATAACTTTATACCTGGACCTTGAACATTAAAGATCAGGGCATGGTAATATTGTATTCTAAATCAAGCAGTAAGCTGCAGTAACTAAATGACACAGAATATGTGCTTTTCAGTAGAATGAACAATACAAAACCAGAGAGCCAGTTTTTCCCTCCTCTCTTTCATCAAGCTGTGGATTGTGCCACAATCCCATAGATCTGGGTCTCACCCTAGGATTCCCCAGACAAGAAARTAGTTTTAGACAAAGGCAATAAAAATCATGCTCCACACTGTTTAGAGAACTCAGTTTTTCTTTAGCAAAACTACTCCAGAAAATATCCCTGATGAATTTGAGCTGTCACTTAAAGCTACAATGTTGTGGCAGATATGGCTCAACTGCAGACCTTTAGTMTACAAATGTGCATGAACAAGAAGCTGCAAAAACCATAATCTAGAAAGACTTTTTAAAGTTTTGAGGTTTTATCCGGTTCAGTGGCTGCAGACATGCAGTTTCTACTTCCTATCAAACAAGAGGTAAGGTTGAAAACTGACTTTAAGGGACCTAGAGAGACAAGAGGCCAAACCCTCATGCAGCAAAACAGCAGTACTAATATCTATAATTGTATCATGCTTGCCAAATAATTATTTCCCAAATTTCTGGAAGCAAAAGAAACTCTTGATTTCCTCTTTTTGGGACAAGTCAGACAGACAATGGGAAAAAGACTTGAAATTTTATCCRAAAGTCTCTCAAAAAGATCCAATGCCTAAAGACGGTTTAAACTTAGCAGTTTTCAAATTAWTTATTTTGAGAGGCCAGATGTATGACTGCTTTAAACACTTACAGCTTACAATTACTGTTTTTAATACTAGAATAGGCAAGCATATGTCAGAAAATCTGTCTGTTTCTCACAACCATAAACTAGGTCAACTCCATTTAGCATTTCTCATCCATGCTGTCACTTCAGAAAAAAATTACTGAGCTGATGYAGAAACGAATTAGGTGGAATTTCATAACCAACATTAACCACACAGTCCTACAACATGGTCATTATTTTCCTYCTAGTCTCAGCATTTATCAGTGATAGTTTCAATGAAGACAAGATAAATAACTATACACTGCCATTAATTTCTTTTGGCTTGCCTAAGCAACTTGATTTAGTTGCATGCCTCTCACTTGGCATTAGTGTTACAGCAAACTTGTTTACTGGAAAGAGTGCTGAGAAATAASTTAAGTTTCCTTTGTATTGGAAGTGATTTCTGGTTCTTAGTTCCTGCTAGACACCATTTTCCAAGAGGGGAACAAACAAAACAAAGGTCTGTTCCCTGCTTCCTTCACAAAATCATAAATGCTGCCTGTGTCCAGCCAGGGCTAGCTAAAGCGAGTCTTCATCTCCAAAACCAAATTGCTGCAACTTTCACTTTGGTGAGAGCAGTTTAAAACAAGCATTTTCCTAAGACTGCATTCCCACACTGTTCATTTTCCTAAGATTACATTCCCAGGTTATTCATGTGACAAGATCCTAAACGGATCAAACATTTCCTCACCTCCAGCTAGAGGAATGGTGCCTACCCAAATACAGTGCTGCAGCACAGCTTTCTCTATACTACAGAAGGCCAAACGCACAAATATCAGTAAAAAGAGTAATCATCTCTCACTGTGCTTAGATAACACCTTTGTGTCATTAAAATGCAGAGCAATGTGTACTGTAACTTGGAACAGGTTACAACTTTTTATTTGATTCAGATGAAAAACATAGTATTATCTTTGATAGAATAATAAATCWGTCTAACACTGAGTAAATATAAAATGCAGTCAAAGACAACAGTGTGAGAAAAGATGTCTTGTAAGAGAAAGAAATAAAGAAATCTGAGCCCATACCTTTAGGACTAACAAATCATGGACACCATCTTGAAGAGTTGTTCCATCCTCCTTCATTAGTCTTATATAGGCCATTGCAAAATTCTTTTCTCCCTTATCTTTAGCTGCAAAGCAAAASATTTTGGGTTGACTACCCATCAACAAATTAAAATTCACTGAAGTAAATATTCCCTACTTACATTCTTGAGTTGACCTGTGCCTGAACATGAAGCGCAGATGAATCCTTTGCATGTCTTCAATGGGGACTGCTACCTTTTGTAAAATCAGAAAATAATGAGGAGAGTTATGGGATGTGGTTTCAAGTGTAATGAGCTCCTATCTTAGAATAAACAAGAACCACTTCTGCTGGTCCCATAATGCCTTTCACAGGCCATTTAAAACTGTAGAGCCTGATCCCAGYAGCAGAAGTGGTGGCTGATAAGCAATGATCTGTTAGACTCTGCTCAAAGTCTGGCAGCAGCAAAGAAATAAAGCCCAGAAAGCAGTGAGTTAATGCACACAGGGGTTTGCACGCCAGAAAATAAGCACAGTGCAGTCCTACTGCTCACCCTGTTAACCACAGAAAACAAAACAACACCTCTGCACTATGCAGCTTCYGCATTTCAGATGCAGAAATTGACAACCAATTTATTAAACACACAAAAAGGGTACAAAAATTCCAGCAAAATTAATTGACTATATTTTTGTGGTTACATTTAGTGTAAAGCTTGAGGGGRATCACAGAAACTTGCAAGTGTTTTATTATTAAAGCAATATACTTTAGGACAAACATGCAACAAAAAAGGCCAAGTGCATGAGAAAAAGCACGATCTCTCATTATCAAGTTTATAGTTCTAAAAATTTAAGGACTTGCACACCTTTATGTCCATTTACAACTTCCCTTTACAAATCTTATGGCACAACTCCTTAATAAACTATGCATTTCAACAGAATCTCCTGTTARTGATCCTGTACACAGAACTGAATTACAGGATAATTTTAAAAAGGAACTAGTATAATAAGCAATAAACAGAATGGCTCAGTGTTTTCAAMACAAGAAATAGGCTTGAAATCACACTTCTATTCCCTCCCTGTCCTGCACCGTAACAGGTAACACTCCTTAAGGCAATAATTGCAAGCTTGTCATACAAGGCTATTTTGTCTTAAAAAAGCCCACACAAGCCTGATACTGCTTTATAAGAGCTGTTTGTGGCAGCTTCTGGGCATTTTCCAATCATAGACATTAAAGCTTGATTAGATAATTATTAGTGTGTCTCTAAAGAGAAGCAAGACAGTTTTTCTCTTTTTGAAATCTAAAGAGGGGGTGGATGTTCTCATTTGAGTTTTGGTTTGCTGTTGTTTGTTTGTTTGTTTGTTTGTTTTTTAATTGAAGCTCTTCATTTCCATTGTTTCATCATAACAGAACAAATGCAGTATTTCACTTTTCATGAGCCCTGTTAGGACATAAGGTTATCTAAGATGATCTCATTTGTTTTGCTGAGCAAAATCTACACATCATTTTCTAGGCCAAATTTCAAGCCTCAGTGATCATGTATCTCTAATAACTGATGTATGACTAAGACTCCATCCTTCAGCTACAGTCAGGGACAAGATGTTTTTTGGAAGAAGCTGATGCTGTGCAACCTTTTACTGAGGCATTAAGGAGTGAAAAAAAGAGAGGAAAGCACCCACGCCATACCTTCAGCGTCTCCATCCAACGCGGCTGCTTGACCTGATAGTAAACAACTGATCTGTACTCGCTCACGGGCTTGTCCCCCGCTCCCAGGCAAACAGCATTCTTTGAAAAAAGAGGGAAGAAACAATGCTTAGTGCCTCAGTAATTTGGGTGAGTTTTTCTAACTTGAGCAAACCCAAAGAATCACCAAAGAGAGTTTCTTTGACAGTCCCAACCCGGGAATTGTGCCCCGGCCTTGGGACATGGCTTCTCCTCAGTGCTCCACTTCCCGCCCTCACAGCGGGCTTGGGTTTGGATATGGCATCCTTCAAAATTAAATAATAATGACAGCACCAACACGGGGGAAGCACTAATGTGAAGACACTGTATTTTCCAAGCCTCTGAACATAATGAAAATAAATATTTACCATAATCTATGGGCAGGGCCAGTGTAATTGCATTTTACAGGGGTCACACTGGGCTCTAAGAGATGTGTGAGGAGCATAGATTAGACTTGATTTCCCCATCTGGTGAATTTAAGTAACCAGCACATCATCTCAATTAGTAAAAGAAACACAAAAGAAAAAAAAAATCTAGCTTAACTATGTTTATTTCTCCATTTACTTTAAAATATTTTATTCCAGCAGAGTATCAGAAGTGCTAGGCCTCACACCAGAGGTGTCGTCCAAACTGGATGTGGTACAGGCACCAACAACAATTAGAATTTCCCATTCCCTAAAGACTATCAGAGCTAGGATAGAGCCAAGTTAGAGATTTGATCCACTTCAAAACTTGTGTTTCTCTAGGAATTCCATTTTCTTAACGTGTCTCTGAAGAGACTGGGCTTGTGTCCGTCGGGTCTGGCTGGATCAGCTGAGTCGTATGGGCAGAGTAAAACTAACTTTGGTAAGGGGGGCACCAAGAACCCTGATACTGGTCAGACATGAAAATAAAGTCCCTGAACAGTTTTAAATGGCCTTTCACAGGCCTTTCAATATTGCTGAGCCTGATCCCGGTGGCAGAAGTGGTGGCTGATAAGCAATGATCTGTTCGACTTTGCTCTAAGTCTGGCAGCAGCAAAGAAATCAAGCCCAGAATCCTGACAGTCGATGAACACAGGAAGCAAACATGAAATTCTCTACTGAAGGCACGGATTGAACTAATCTAGGGTATCCTAACTACTACAAAGGCGCAGTTTTCCTGCTGAAAATCCAGGGAATCTTAAAAGTCTTCAAACCCCAGGATGCCCTGTGACTAGAAGGGTGTGGTGCTGATAGCTGGAGATGATTTGTATGGTGTGGTCAGAGGGATGTGACTGCAGAAAGCAATGTTTCATCTGCCTGAGCAGAGATTTYTCAAGGTTTGTGCACCTGCTTGTTTGTCACCTCTGTGACATTCACTTGGAACAAAAGTCCTTTTCCTTGTAACAGTAAATCAAGGTCTGCAACTGGAGMTAGTTTGATACCTAAACAGAACCAACTAGTTTCCTGTGTAACGAACATATACCGGTTACAAAGAGTATTAATATAAATTCATGGGTTTGAAAGTCGATTGGTTTGGGGTTTTTTTAATAGACTAAAAGGAGAARGCACTTTGTTATTACTTGCATTCAACAGTGTTTCAATTAACTCCTCAAAATTCTTGCTTAAATATTTCTAAGGCATATTACYCACAGAAAGTAGGTGTGATATTTCAGCTCAAAGACAACATGATAAATTTACTTTCTCTCARTATTTGCAGAAATGACATATCTGCAGAACTAAGCATTCATAATACTGGWATGCAAGATTTAATACATTGTAATAGTTTTATTTCTTTAAGGAATACTTCTTTTTATATGTATTTTAAGCATCTTAACTGTAATTAGAGAGCGAGGACAGGGTTAACTTCTGTTCATGCAAGTCATGGTMAGGTGCTGTCATAGGTAAAGGCAGTGTTTTGTAATCAGGGCTACAGTTTGTTGTGGGGACCTTAYGTGGGATTAGGATTTTGTCCACTCAAGCCTTAACGTTGCATTTTAGGTCAAGCAGTTAGTTGCAGCTCATAAACAAGGCATGAACCACAGTCATTTACTGCATCTTTATTTTATCTCAAAAAGTGTCACTATGATTTCACCCTCGTGATCCCAACAGCATAAAGCTCAGAAAATGACAGGTCAAAAATCCCCCTGAATGCCAAACTGGTGATAAACCCTAWGGAAAAGACAAAAGAGCTTCAAAATGGGAATAGACAGGCAAAAAGACACTGTAAATATTTATGTTGCATCTGTAATTGTTGTCACTAATTTCATTATTTGCCATGTACTTAATACATGGGACAATGACACAGACTTCCTAGCACAAATCAAGGGTTTGYTATGTAGAAATGGTACTTCCAACATTTCAGTTTGCAAATTGCATTCCTCTGGGAATTTCTACAAGAAAAACCCTAGAGTAAGAATGCAGTAATTGTCAGAATCAGCATTTGTTCCTTGGCACAGCTAAAATAGGTCATTCAATGTTATTCCTCATTACATTTTTATGCAAAAATTTAAAGGGCTTTTATAGAYAAATCACTTGAAAAATCATAAAACTTATTTGTTCAAGATGTCACAAGAAAAGGAATTGAGTTTTTGAATAGTGGTATTTTATGAAATGTTCAAGTTAATCCTTACATCAAAAATGCAGCTCATGTTTCTGTGCCCCTCATGCAGAAAAAAGGAAAACTTACTGGCAACACTTTTCCTTCTTCATCACAGACACACATTATCACTTCCACATTTCTCGGAGTTGTTTTATTGTATTTATCAAAATCTCCATACAGCAGTGTAATATAGATGTCATTTCTTATATCTCCTAAAAGAGAAATTGAAATGTTAAAAATCAATTTAAATGCTGTGAGATTATAGGATCAGCAGAACTGCACATGGGCACCTTGCTTTTTGCTGTGAAACAGGTAAAAATGTATTATTTTCCATCCAAACCTAAATTTTCAGTTTTTGTTCTTAGCTAAGGAGAAACTGCCATGCGAAGAGAAGCAAATGGGAGCTCGGAGTGACTCKMAGTAATTCCCGTCCTGCCCCGACAYCTGCTGGCGAGGTGCAGGATGATTCCATTAGGAATTTTCCCCAAAAACACAGCTCTCCTTCATATTTCAATTTTCTCCTCTGACAGAAGTCATATGACTTTTAAAAAGACCGAGGTTTGATTTAAGCTGAGGTGAGGAAGGTTTTGGATTTTTGTTTTTTAAAAAGGAGCACAGCAGATTGGGACTGATTTCAATAGGAAAATACCTTGTCATAAATACAAAATAAATCAAGATATTGCAAATTCATTTGTTTGCTATTATTAAAGGACAGAAATAGCTTGCAATAAAAACAAGTTTAATTTAAAATTCAAGTGACACCCACCATGATCTGCTTACAAGATAAGAAAATTATGTACAAGGAGGTAGATTTATCCCTCACTGTCTGGATTTCGTTTTTCCTGTTTAAGTACTAGCAACTACTTTCCAAGGATTTCACTGTTTTATATAAGCCTTTAATATGGGAACAAAACTTACCATGAATGAATTCTAAAGAGCCTCTRAGTTACCCATTACAGAAATAAGGCAGCAGCTGATGTTTATTAACATAGGGAATGAGAAGAAATCCCTTCCTTTTAGAGAGCAAGGCACCTCCTACCTGGCATGATTATTTCAGGGAATCCCAGCTTTCTAGCAACAACGGTGGTTCTGTCTACAAGGTGTGGGTAATCCTTCCTAGTCTGAATCACATCTCCAACCAGCATCTTCACAGTTACCCACAGACCTATTAAAAAAAAAAAAAAAAAAAAAAAAAAAAAAAAAAAAAAAAAAAAAGATTACTTTTTTTAGTAGGGGAAGAAAAGAATCTGTCTTCAGATGGTTGCCTCTTTGGCCCACCAAAATAGGGATAAGAATTTGTTTTCCTCTATTCCTATAGATGAAAGTAAAACTCTTTAATGCAAAACTGTCACTAYTGATTTAAACAGTCCATAAGATTCCACAACAAACTCATGGTTCCTCGATTCCAGGTTCAAAGGTGACCCACCATGGTGGTGCTACAGCTCCAACATAAAATGAAGTTTCACAAAAATACGCATTACTTAAAAAGAAAATAATAAAAATGTACTTTACCTTGTCCACCACTGTCTCCTTTTGATGCAGTGATTTTGCTTAGGAGACTGTGTAAAAAGTCATTCTCTGCCACTACCCTGCAAGAGAAACAACAATGTCTGCTAAGGAACTAAGTGCTAAATACATCAGACACCATTTAGAACATAAGGAACAGCCTCAGTCTCAGCAGAATTGCCTTATTGTGGTACRTTTTKTATTTCATTGTGTCTCACTCAAGTKGCAGCCCACTCACATTCAGTTGTGTGTACACTGAAGTGAAAAAGATTCAGTCAACAGACACGAATGGTGTTTTGTGACAGTGCCAATATGAATGCACTCACCAACATGCCACGCCAGCTCAGACCACTTTCCCTGACAAATAGCCAGATAAATGAACTCAGAATTTTTATCAGCTACTTTCGAATTTAGAAACAAATTCTGTTGGGTCAAATTTGAAACAAGTGAAATAATAAACCACTGTTTCATACCTGGGTCTTTCAKAAATAAATTTATCCTCCATATTACTTAGCAGGAGTGCTATGTAGGACACATGGAGTTATTTCCAGTATTTCCACTGGTATCTCTGCATCTGATCTGTGAACATCACATTTTTAGGGAGCTGCTCTGCCCTTTCTTCTGAAGACAGTATATGATAATTCTATTACTTTTAAAAGGAAATAGTTTTWACTCAGAYTTTTCATGTATTCAAGACCCAARCCCATAAAGTARTAGTTATCCTTGTTTGTAAAGCTTACTTTTAACTGTTTAACTTGGGTTTGTGAAACAGGACAATGTACCAGCAGTCTGAAGGAGCACATTCATRGAATTATAAATTAATTTAATGTGCTGTGGTAYCMCTCCCTGMAAGTCTTAAATGTCTTTTMAAYTCATACTTAAATAATTAGCACTATYAMAAAATAAAATTKTTWAAGGAAAACTTTCTTATTCTTTGACCATTTTACATATTGTTACAGCCCAAGAGATAAATATTTTCTTATATGTTTAAAAAAAGATATCTGCAACTGTCTTACGGATGAAAGGGAATGAAATGCTGCTTTTCTTCATCACTTTCAGATTTTCCTTTTATGATATCTGTAATATCCATGACTAGAAGAATAAAAGAAAAATCATCAGAACATATATAAAGTATTTCAGAAGAGCTTCTCTTATCTATGAATGTTCTTGTGCCCCAAGGTAAATGTAGATTTTTCACCAGCAGTGTAGCCCAGCAGGGGTGGGTTTATGAGGCAGAGCATTTAGTGCAATGTTCAAACTACAAACATTCTTCTGTGTGAAGGGAGAATTCAGAATGGTTTAAATCTAAACTTGTGAATACAGGTATGAGAGCTTTGGAGGTGCTTTTGGGACATAAATGCTGACTCTATTTCATCTGCAAGGAAATCTATTATTAAACTGGTTCTCTGCTTTCACTTGCACAGCTTGGCACTACATGAATAATTAGGAAATTAAATTCAAAAGYACATTTCTGACTTGAACCAAAACGCTAATGTAGGTGCAGTCTTTACAGACTTAAAAAGCTATAGAAGACAATTGATAGAGCTGTTGTGTACTCTGACATGTCTTGGAGGTATTTTATAGTCCAGTGTTGACAAAAATCCCTGATATCCTGATTCAGCCACAGCACAGGAGCCGTCAGGTACCTGCCACTCCAAAAGGCCGACGCAGCCCTTGTGTGTATTTCTTWGAATTGCTGTCTCTCAGATCCATCCTTCCAACTCGGACTATTTGGCAAACTAAATAWATTTTGTCTCTACTGAGGTCTTTATTTCCAAGATCCTAAGATACAAACAAAAAAGAATTATAATGTTATTTGGGGAAAAAAAAAACAAGTTGTGGTGTTGAAAAAAGGACCTCCAGTAATAAATTGAACCTTAGCAATCAATGGGAAAATAAGGTAAACAAAAACAAAAAAAGAAAAAGAAAACCAAACAAACCCCCAAAAACAAAGAAAAAAACCTGAGCACAAAAGAAGGATGAAAAAATGACAGTTTAAAGTCTGAAAAAGATGTAAGGTAAAATAAATAGAGAGAATAATAACAATCAAGAGATACAGCAGATGAGAACAAATAAATCAAGTAATCAATAAATTCATGAGGCAGAAAACTGATCTGAAGAAGGCCACTGAAACATTGTCACTGCCTTAACGAACTCAGTGACTTGTCATCTTGCTCTGTTTCTAAGATWACCTCTGCTTCCTTYTTCCTCTTGCTCACTCTTTACAAGSTCTGACAGTGACCACAGAGAAGAGACAATTCCGTTTGCAAATATGAAGTAAACTGGGAAACACTTACTGTGAACACCACTTTAAGATTGTTGAGCATATCAATTTCCTTTGGAAAGCCTCGACTCCCCCATCTCACCAAGTAGTTCTCGCTGTTTGGAAGATAAATATCTCATTGTCAAGTGATGTAAAAATTCTTCTTTTACACAGTATAAAAGTAAAAGACATTTTGTGGTAATGGTTTAATTCTAAGACCAGACTAAAAAGACAAGAAAAACACTCTACAAATGTCAACAGTAAGTTTTGAAAGAATACCTTGAACATAACACAAATGGTGCCTTTTTTTTGAGCCAACTTTACCACCATCACAGTCTGTTTGATGGGTATGCTCAACAGAATCTTAATCTATCTAGAAATTTATAAATTGCTCTAATTTTTTTCCACTTTCCCCCCACCTCCCCATCAGGACTTTACTCCAAACACCAACATATTCCCCATCAAGAACAATCTCTTAAATCTGAAATGGGCTCATGCTTTTTCAAATTTCTGAAATGTTTAATCCAGGAATTACCTATGAAAATATTTGGGAACTTAGAAACCTTAAGCAGCAGCCAATAACTAGATCTATCCATGCTTCACTTTGCCATTGGTTTTCTTCCTTTTATTTATATTTTTTTTGCATTATTATATTATGATAGCACGTTGGCAATCAGTCTACTTCATTCAGGCTGGTTGCATTTGCTACTCTTCTGCAGTCAAAGGAAGAAGCTTTACCTTATAATTGTTGATTTCTGTGGATCATACAGTGACATAAAGAGTTCTGCATCCTCTCCAATCCGGCAAACAAAATTCCTCACAAAGACATACAGRCTGTGGGTGGGGGATGAAGACATTCGGGCGTACGGTGCGTAATCTGGCTGATCCTTGGACTACTCAGGAGGARGAAAATCATTAGTTAAAAATAATCCATTAATTGAAATGGTGGGGTACTTCAAGCAGTTTCACTTTCTAGTATATGCAATAGTTWAACTTGAAAAGAGAGCAGGGAGCTGGACTCAGTAATTCACATAATTCTCCTCCACCYTGAGATATTCTATTATTCCAGACTTCCATGTCTTAGGCCAGTTCTTCAGCCTGTAGGCAACGATTTAAAAGAGGAAATATTGTCCCCACTTTTAAAGAGAAAAGCAAGTATCAAGATGTCAGTACAGTGACAAGCCTACAAGCTGGAAATAATATATTTTTGAACACGGTAAGATGTAGCAGAAGGCCTATGATCCACATCACAGTGGGGTTCCAGTGTGCTAGGAGCAATAGCAAAATGAAATAAGTCYTTTTGAAGAGGAGACAAATAACATGCTGAGATCAGGACACAGCTGAGCAGGTTCACAGACTCAAAAACAGGCTCCTGAATTGTGCCCACCTCCCATTTTAAACACCAAGAAGCAGCTTCTTAACACTTCTAAAATCATTGTTTGTCTGTATTTTTAAAATAAATCACCACAGTCTATCACAGAATCCCAAGTTTCATTTTCTTTATATTGTCAGTTAATTGCAAGGTGTTTTCCAGTGATTTGTCATGGGCGTTATTGAAGTGTCATGACAAACCAACTATTTTCTGTCAAGTGTTTTACTTGCTTTTTTACAGTTTACTTTCTCATAAATGGAGAAAAGAACCAAAGAGGCTTAAAAATCCCTGCAGAGATTTAATATTGCAAAAGGTCGAGGAAGTGCAGTCACCTGCTTTGCATTTTAAAAGATTAAATTTATGCACTTGTCAGCTTTGCTTTGGCACACGGACTTCTGGTGTCCACAAGATTATGCTGAGTTCACTTTAGTTCCTCTTCAGTGAGCTTCAGTTCTTCAGCCTCGTCAGACTAACTGGACAAGCAGCATTACTGAGCAAACAACCAGTGTAGTCATATAATCTTGTGAAAACAAGCTGTGGTCAGTCCTGGTTTGCAGCCTGAGCTCTGAGTGTGTAACTATTCACTGTGCAATTCAGCCTGTTGGGTAGTCCATGGATGGAATTGTCATGAGAGACATATTTCCATTCAATTGAAATGATTTCCACCCAAGAATGGGTTTAGAACCTATTTGAGACCCAAGCTTCCAGCCCAACTCGCAGCCCAAATTCAGTGCACAAATGCAACTACTCAAGCCTCAGTCACAGCCATAACACAAATGTGGATCTACACTTAATAAACTCAGAAGCAAATGTTTCTACCAACTTTTATGGCAGAAGATTCCATCCTACAACTCTTAGATTAGTTTTTGCTTGGGTTTTAGTAAAGGAAGCACAAGTCATTCCTACCATTTCCTCCTTTATTCTCTCAGTGATTTTATTAGTTGCTTCTTCATGTGCATGAAATAGGCTGATAACACTGGTTTTATCTGGATCCAAGATATTTCCATCTTCATCTCTAACTATCAGGTCTAGCTCAAGTATTCTGTGAAAATACAAAAGGCACCATGGTATGGTTATTTCCTTCTATATAAAGGAACATTAGAAAAGTAATAAAACTTTAAGGACACTTGAAGTTTTAAAGTTACAAAATTTAAATACATGCAACAGCATTTCACTGAAAAAAAAATTGTAACTACACTCCATGATTTTTTTTAAGCTGCTTTACAATATTTAGGCATTCATAGTAATAACACCAAAGCATTGAAATGCTTCTCACACAAAACAGATTCACCCTGTTCAATGACTTTTAGMAGTCTTCATCACTTTTAGCTTTTAACATTCAACATTTGTAATCAAGATGTGCAGAATATTCCTGTTACCTTCTGCTTTTATGTTGTTCTCTCACCTTTTCATTTCCAACACTTAACTCTGTTCTGTTTTGCTCTACTCTCATACAAATCATGCCTTTTTTCCCTGCCACTCGTTTTTCCCCTCTCTCACAGTGGTCCCTTCTTCACAGTCTGGCAAGTTTCCTTCACACCAGCAACTCAACCCCACATCCTCTGGAGCTTACAAACACTATCCAGCTTGCAATCCMAATRATTTTAAACAWCCCCCTACTCCTCCAAAGGAAGCARTTTACTGAAAGAATACAGAAAGARTAWAAGAGCAGGAAAACAAAAATCTGAAAGCAAATGAATTTAAATGTTGTCTTAATCACAGCTGGGCTTCTTTGATTGGAGCACTTCAAAGAAAATTCTGATTTTGAGTGACCATTCAGCTCTGCACAGTGCAGTAGGATATGTGTTTTTCACASTGTGCTCTCTATGAATACAATTTGTTGTAGATTTGCATCCAAATCACAGTGAACGAGATAAGAATTTCATAACATTTTGTGGTCATTTTTTATGTGTAGCCACAGGTAATTGTAGACTTTCAGCTACAGAGAGACCTTCAGGCCACAACAACCACTGCCACTTAAAATAGCTAAACACAGTTTATAGCAGGCTCTAATGCCTGTAACAACATACTGCGATGATTTGTTTACCAAGCTCTCTCTCCCTTTATCAGACGGTGAAACACCACTGACCTCGCACAAACCCACAATTTTGCCAAAAAATACGTTGAGTTGCAGTGACTGAGCAGGGAGCAGACAAGACATTTTGTCAAGTAACTATTCTGTCCCTGGCAGCTTCACATCTACTACCAGAATCAGAGTTCTGCCTGGAAATTCCCAGGTGAGCTGGGTGTGGGTATGTGTGTGTTTGTTTGCACACTTAGCCCAGTTTGCCAGCCCCGCTTTTGAAGATCTCTAACACTGCTGGACATAAGCCATGTTTGTGAAGGATGGACAAGTTTTGGGCCCAAGACACTGGTGATATATGAAYATAGAGGCCAGTTATTTGACCTCAAATCACCACAATTCACATATTAAGAAATACATTAATATTTTGAAAATGCATTTTGCTTTGAGAAACCTCATCATTGTATCCTCCATTAGCACAGGAGTAATAGGGAGAAGCCTGAAAAAGAAGATTCAATATGAACCACACTTCTGAATTACAAACCTTTAAACATTAAAACTTTATAATCAGCCCTGTGGTGTTGTGTCTTAAAACAAATCATGTTTCCAGAAGYTGTATGGGCCACTTACTTGTTCCCATAGTCAATTTTGGATGTGACCTTCTGTTTGAGTTCTTTGAGCTCATCTTTTGGCAAAGTGCCGGACAGAAGCTGTGACCGCCACTCCATCAAGTCACACATCATGGACTGCACCTGCTGGAACCGGGCTTTCTTATTTGTCTAAGAGAGAGAAAATAAGAATAACCTCAATAAGTTTCAGGTTTTGAGTTGAAGTGAAACACTGGTCTTGAGAACTGAAGGCTACATGCAATATTTGATGCTAAATGATAGCAGGAACTAGAAGTAAGCAAAGTAATGAGCCTGCCTTTTTCCTYTCATCACACAAATTGTTAAGRAYRGAAAAYCTCGTGATCATAAAGAAATTACATKAAATTTGAGCAGTTTGTATCAGGATAGGGAATTGTGATATTTTCGTTTCATTTAATAGTGCTGATTAAAATTCGTTAACAAATTCTCATCAAGAGAAAACATTACCAAAACAGTTAACTTCTGTATGAGATACAGATAAGAGCATGCTGGGAACAATATTTGATAGTGGTGTTAACACATTTAAGAGAAAAGAAGTCACTAAAACAGCTCTACTGTCATTCACTGAAAATAAAGAAAGGTTTTCATTGCTGACTTAATCAACAAGACTAACAATGGCATGTTTCAGAAAAGCACAGCATATTCAAGATTTCTTTCCCCCCCAAAAAAAAATAAAGCAGAATTGAGTGGCTGGGATCCTGGAACAGTCAGCACAATTATTGAAATTGCCAATGTTAATAGCTACATGCTCACAGTAACCCTTGAATAACTTCTGCTCTAGCATTCCATGAAATCTTTTTGAAATGCATCTTAGTTACGTGTTATACTCCTATCTGGAAACTTTTCAACTCTAAAAATCAAAATTATGAAAAATGTGTCATGTACGGGATATTCAAGGTTCAAACAATGAGCATGAAGTTACACCACTGCTCAGCAGGAAGTCAGCTTTCCCCGTACAGAATCTCAGAACCATCCAGGTTGGAAAAGACCTTCAAGATCATCCAGTCCAAGGCYGATGGTTGGCCTAGACTTAAAGTCACTAGGTCTTTAAAGCCACAGAAGAAAATCTCACTAGTGAAGAAGAAATTTCTTAAATCCACCCAGACCTTGCCCTGAATGTAGGAGAAGATGTAAGTTTGAATGAGGCCCCAGTGTGCATGAAAAGGACCAACTAACAAGCAACAAACAGCATGGAAAACATCCTACCACATAGAGCTGCTTCCAGATGCTTCCCCATTCCCAGAGAGTAGTGGTGACTTCTTGGACTAAGGGAATCTCAGCAGGTATGACATTTTCTGTATGTCTAAGAAAGAGAAGGAAACTTATCACAAAAAGTGTCTGCATTTCRTGGTGTATATTATAGTTACTGTGAGTGAGGCACATAAAAGCTAAAAACTCATTATTTAGAAGAAGTTCAATAAYGTAATAAAACAGATAAATTCAATACCTTTTCTTTTCAGCAGTAGCTTCCTTGATGTGGATGAAGGATTTAGGAAATATTCCCTTTTTGAAGGAGAAGAAAAATATAAATCCACACTTATTTTCCAAGAACATTAAGGTAACAACCATGATTATGAACATAAAATGTAATGACAAACTGTAATACCCAAATTAACTGCAGATTATCTGGTTTTTTATCCAGATAGATGCATTTCTAATTGACCAACAAATAACARAAGTTTTGTTATATCTCTGCAAATAAAGAATGCATAGGCATCTTTCTATATAAGAACCACCATTTTCCACCCCAGAAAACAGTTCAATTAAATACTATTTAATATAATGTAATTTAAATTCAGCAAAGCAACATTTTGTCTGTGCATTGTGCCATATATTCCACTTTCCTGGACAAAAAGACAATCTAATCTGGAGATCAGCTTGGTTATCAAACCAAAGGAGAGGCACTGATGGAGGATCATTGCATGCTGATAGAAATATTTGCAATGCACAAGGAAGGGAGACACTAAATAAAGCCATAAACCCTCAGYCCTCCCAGGTGTGCATGGCCCCACTGCAGCTGGGATTGCAGCCTCATTTTCTGCTCCTTAGGGCTGTGCAGAGATGCCCAACAAGATGCAGCCAAGGAGACACCAAATTTCATGACCTTACCAACATCTATTTTAACTGACCTGTTCAAACAGAAACAGAATTTTTGTTGCAGAAAACAAACGGCCACCAGACAAAGTGATTTAATTGAGGTGTCCTTACTCACAAAAGCTGAAATGTCTTAAGTCATCCTGAAGGAACTTTTGACAATCAATCTGTCCATGACAATCCTCACAGGAACTGGCAAATCTCACCTTGGTAATTAAACAGATTCTTCCTGGATTTTTCTCTATTCAATAACTCATTCATTGTACTTCCAGTACCATAATAATTCAGTAACAAATCTGTTACTTTACAAAGCCTTTCTCCAAATTAGATTTCAGCTTTTATAACCATTTTCTTTTAAGYACTGGATCTTAATCAAAACACAATCATGCTTATCACTTCCATGTTTTTTCATTAAGATTTAAGATCAAAAAAGACTGTGAAGAAGCAAAGCAAAAGAAGGTCCCAGTAACAGTAAATTGAGTGTTATCTCAGTACACTAAATTAATAATAATTCTTAAAGCATGTTATGYATGTTGATCTTGAAACCCTTTAGCAATATTAGGAATTAATTAAGAATTAGTTAAAAGGGAGTGGTTAGTTCTGGTAAATATTTTCCCTTTTTAGTTTTAGGCTAAATTTTAGTTGATTAAAATAATATTACATAGAATAAATAGTAATAACATTTTTAGTCAAAAGAAATGTCAAAGTAATTAAAACACAAATGKAAAATTTTAATGTATCTGCATTGCTGCTCCCTAGAAAATCTTATAGGAAGAGGAAGTTACAAACAAAAATGGTTTTCTTCTAGAAAAGTGAATTTCAAATTAAGAAGTARTTTTCTTGCTACTYAACTCAGGAGTTRTCATACTCAGGGTAAAAACTATTMATCTGTGGCTTTCCATTTTCAGATTTAAGAGTTTTGACTTCTAAAAAAATGAATATGAGTTCTGTACATTAGAGATATTTAAGAATTTAAGCCTCATACAAGTTGTTTATAATGTTTGTAGCCTAAAGAATCCCTAGAAAAAGTACAGAAACAAACACATCTAGCAGCAAATTAAGTGAAAATTAAATTCAAATGGTGTCTTCAACACCTGACGGCACWGTCCTTTCTTCTTCATTATCTGCTTTTCCTAGTCCTGACTTCTGTTTACCAACATTGTCCAGGATAAATGCTGATARTTATATTCATCTTGAAAGGAAAGAAGCTGGACACAGTCCTATTAAGATCTCTCAGGTCAGCTATCTACTAAGAGATACTAAAATTCATGGGTTGATTCCTRAAGAACCATCTCACAGGAATGAACMGYGYGGTCTTACCTCTGCTCCTTTGTACCTTACAAGGTAACCCTTGTACCAACCTAAAAAGAAGAAAGGTTACTTGGTATGACAACAAACATGCATTGAAAAGTCATGTGCATTGCATGCACAAAGTCATGAGGTTTATTTCATGTAAGAAATACCTCGCACCGTATTTGTAAAAATTAACAGTTACTTCAAATATGCATAGATTAAAGTGAAAGCAGGGATTATATTAAGTRTGACTTGCATTTTATCAAATATTATTATATTGTTTACTTTCAAGTCTCGCACAGTAAGTACAGATAATTATACACAGAATTTAATACCCCACGCTCACATAGGAAAGGTAGAATAAATAATTTTTCAGTGTAATATATGCACACATTTATATTTCTGTCTCAGCCACAATCACCGATGCTTCTGGGTAGCCCATGAAGCTCTTACTGTGTTCTAGCCCGGTATTAATTCAATAGAGCACATGGTTATTACATATCCAATTCCCATGAATGTGATAARATGAAGCCATTTTTCTGCCATGAGGAATTACAGATTTTAGACTCAAGTCAAATAAACAGCCTCCTCGTGTGGAGTTCAAGTTGGAATCTCAAGAAAACTCAGGGCTATTATAGGGCTTCTGCTCCATTTGTGACCAAAAGCCCTTCTGAAAGACAGGAGTGCAGTACTGCAGTAGGGGCAGATTAAAAATTGATTCAGGCTTCGCCCCATCTATTCCACAATTAAGTCAAAATAAACTACAAAAAAAACATAAAAAGCAGAGTTCAACGTTACTAAATTAGATCAGGAACCATATTTACTGTGCTTACAGCCCAACATGAAAGATCACCTGCACAGTAAGTAACATTGTTAAAGTCAGTTGAATACTTTTTTTTTTTTAGCCCATAGAAAGAATTTATGACTAAAAGCACACACACATTTTCTGATTATAATTTCATGAACAGGTAAGATCTCTTTGCTATCACTCTTTCTCTCTCACCATTTCTATCACAGCACAGRTATTACAGCCATGCAAGCAGAGCATAAAAAAAAAAATAAACTGCAAACACCAGACATAAAGATAATGTTAAAAAAGTCACAGGATGATTGTTGACCTCAAAGAAAGACTCAGGACAGATTATTTTTTCCCTCAGTGTTTTCTCAACAATAAAATTCCAATGTTTTACTGCTAAAACGGAATTATTTGCACATAGTCTCAATTTACAACCAAGTATGTAAAATTTGTTTCATCCCATTTGCTATCACAGCCCTTATATGTTCTGTGCATAAATTTTGTGCATGCAAACCCAACTAAAATAGGACATAAAACGAGCAGGGAAGAAACCTGTCACTGTTGGTTACTCGCCAGCTGCAGCTGGCAGCAGATTTGGAAGATAKCTGATAAAAGATGAACTTCACTCACACGAGGAGAAGGATTTCACTTCTTCATTGRCCAATATATTTCATGAAGCAAGGCATGACAGAGCATATCAAGGGCAGAGGTTTCAGAAAAGGTTTTTAAATAAAAAAATAACCCCATAAGATCAGCACCTAACTCAATAAGCTGGACTGATAACAAATGTACCACAGGAATAAAAAACCTGAAATGCTATTTCTGCAACAGACAGTACAGGGATGAGGAGGGTCCTGGTTTGTGCGGGTGTTTTATTCTCAGCCCAAATGTTTAGGATGGAGGCTTAAAGAATTGTTTTATAGGAGAGGACATGAATCATTGTGACTCTGAGAGAAGCATTTTTTGACTGCTGAGTGACATCAGTGTTTTCACTGATGCTTAAAGATACTGAATTTATCTTACGAACAGAAGATAAATAATTATGGTTTTGTGTTCCAGTACACGATAAACCTGGTGTCTTGGGTGCTCCTCTCTCAAATCCTTTGTTGTTTCCGTACAAAACAACCCAGAGCTCTGTGTGGTGGAATGGGCTGGGCTCAAACAGCTTCAGGCTCTTTGCAGCTTTGTGACCTCAATGCACCAAACATCTCGACACTGAGCTGGCTCTGCCACTGTATAATGCAGCAATCGACCTCCCATTTTCACACAACTACAGCTAATAAGATACAACAGGCACACGTTCCAGCAGCAGAAGYAGTTGAAGAAGATAATTCCACAATATATTTTACAAAACTTTGAGCACTTCATGATTTATTTTAAAACTCTTGACCCAGTMAAGAGCATCACTGCAAATTGAAAATAAATCACTCTTAGCAGTTAGGTGTCTGCAAATGTCACTGTAGTAAGAGTAATAACTATACCCTCCTTGCTTTATATTAATGAAAACCTCAGTAGCTCTGTCAGGCTTATTGGTCTGACAGAAGGAATTGAATGTCTGTCATAGCTTGACCTGAACTTCTGCTGCTTAACATGTTCAGTGAGTTGCTGGACGGTTTTTAGAGCTGTTTCTATCATGGTGACACTCAGATGTCATTAACTGGGTGTCCTTCTTATCCTACAGGATGAAAAGGGTGCTGAATATCTCCTAGCAACAAATATTTAGTTTGAAATAAAACCTAATTAAAATTTAATTTTTAATTAAGTTTTAAATTTAAAACTCAAATTTAGTGTAACTTCCAWGAGGTATATCACAAGCTGACAAAAACTTCGTGAGCTGTACATTCACCTTTACGACTTCCTCATTAGGTAAAGGAGTCCCAAAAAACCACATGTACAATATGTCTAATTTTGGCCCTTCAGAAAAGATTAGGTTCTTCCTCAAAATAGACCACCACCACCACTAAAATAGGAGCATTAGACAGCTGCTGATGTAACGCAGGGAACTGGTGTGAGGTGAAAGAATTATCCTATTCACAAATAAATGGGAAATGTGACTTACCTTCGCAGGACTCCAAGATATGGACCACATCACCAATCTGTAGAGGCAGCTGTGGGATCCCTGTGCCTTTGAAATTGTATATAGCTGGAAAATGAAAGGATGAAAATACTATTTTTCAATACACTACAGTTAAATWAAAAACCAGACATGGTTATTAAGATTTGGATGCTGGGATAAATACATAAGGCTAGACAAACAGAACTATAATTCTAACAAGAAGCTCCATATGTTATCTTTAAATAATCTCTTYTCTTGTGAGAATGGAAAGGTGGTGGAAATGGCCAGTGCTGAAAACAAAAACCAAACAAACTAAGCCCACAGTAAACTCAGCAAGTGGAAACCAGCTATTGATCAGCACTGCTGGGCTCAGGATTGAGGAGAACCTCTTCAGATGCAGGTCTTTGATAAATACACAACCACAGTGCTGGGGAATTGTTTTTTTACTGGCCCAAAAGATTTAAGCACTCAGTGTACAGAAATTTAGGGCTGCACTGGTAGGAAAGGGCACAGAAATGCCTGTGAAAACTGAATTTACTGAATTCTTTCCTGAGTTTAGATGCTTTAATTTCATGAAACTGTATTTCATATGGAAAGAGAAGCATGTTTCATAATTTTCTGTATTCTCTGTATGAGTCTGAAAAGAACACAAGAGCAGACGATTTTCAAAGAGCTCTAATCAGAAGCTTATCTATATGTGGTTAAGAAACAGCAAAGTTTCACAGAGAATTCACGACAATAAACCTCCTCACCAGTTTTGTTCCAGGGTTACAGGATGTGGGCTTCTATGGTAACTGTGCCCCTGTAATTTTTTTTGTTCGTGGGCTTGGGGGGGTTAGAGGCCTCTACAACACCATGAGAATAGAATGGGTTGTTGAAGCTGCAGTCACACAGGGAAATGGATTAAAATCCAAACCCCTAAATGCCAGTGAAACTGTGCAGGGGGACAGGGCTCTGGGTGCTCACAGTGACCCCAGGAGTGCAGGGAAGGGGTTGGTGAGCAGAGCTCTGCCCTGGCTCCTGGAGTGACCCCTTCAGCCACCCAGAGCAAATGAACCTGGAGGAGTTTGGATGAGGGGCAGCTGAGCCATAAAACAGATTTACCTTCAGCATCTTCCCTCATTCCTTTTGCTCCCTCTACTAGGTTTCTAAAGCAGAATATTGATCTTTGCTAGGCCAACACATATAATGAAACATTTTATTTAAGGATTTTACTTMTTTATTTTACTAAAATTAATAAAGTCTCAAAATAAATTTGCCTTCCATGAAAATGCCCAAAGTAGGAGTGTAGAGCTAAGTAGATTCATCCTCTTCACTTTACAAGTATTCCATAAATTATATTTCTTTTGACATAATTATATTTGTTACACTTCTGGAACAGAAACTAGAGGAATTTTGGATTGAATAAGCTTGCTGGACCAAGAATAAGTTCTTATTTTTGTTGACATGAACAGGTTCCCAGCAGCTCCTCCTCCTGAGTGGGGAGAGCAAGGCTTGAATCATTCAATATATGGAGAGGAATAAATGGAGCATAATTTTGAAGTGAGGCTCTGCTGCCCAAATTTAGCTGTTTATTCAAGAGAACCTTGAAAACACTTCCTCAGAGCTGCCTTAGCTCAACACAAAATGGAGTTTATGTAGTACASTACATGTGTATTTATATTGACTGGTCTCTTTTCCAGAAGTGCAGGATGGCAAACAACTCCCAAAAGTTATCATGACATTTCAAGAGACATTTCCTTGGAGTGTTTGGGATGTGTGTGCAGGGTCATATTCTTATATTATTTCCCTGAAAAGTCCATGAAGACCAGGATTACTGTTGATCAGCAAATAACTTTAGATTTCAAAATATGCATTGCTCTGCTTAGCTGTAGCTGTCTCAAAATATGGATGCAAATTACTGAGTCATATATTTACACTGYGTTTCGGTTTTGCTCTCTTAAGGCTTCATTTACCAGCCCTGAATGTATTGGAAAGTGCAGTAACAAACTGGCAGAGGAAGTGGCTGCAGCAGCTTAGACTTTTCTAAATGAGTAAGTGGAAACTTATGAGGGATTTTTACTGTAGAACTTGGATTGTTTGGTAGGATGAGTTTAAAAAATCCCCATAAAAAGTTTTTAGCTATAGACCTATCCACACATTTCATGATAAGGTACCTCCCAAACTRCTCACATAAAATGTGACCAATAACCCAACACCATCACTACATCCACAGGTCTTACCTACAACACCAGACAGCTTAACCAGCACACCTGCTATTGTTGTAATTATTAACATGAATGGAAATTTGATTATTATATCCAATTGTGTTTTCTGTCAGCTGTGAGTGATCTAATTTTCCTTACAGACTGGGATCCTCCTATATTTGTGGGTATCACCTCAGAGCTCACCAGCCAAAAGGAGGGTTCCTATTCCTCCATCCCTTTTTGGGATCCTGTGTGTGCAAAAACACGTATTTAACTCATTTTTCTCTTCAAAAATAGTATATGAGAACACCATGTGCAATTCAAGGTTTTTTGGTTTTTTGTTTTTTTGGGTTTTTTTTTTTGTGGGATGTTCACAACAGGTTGTAGACTATTTAAAACATAAACTCTCCAGCGAGTAGAAATAAAAGCCCTTCCAAATCACTCTGAAGAACCTTCCTACTACTCCACTGCCTGGCATCCTGTATCCCAGCCATAAATACAAAATGAGTCAGCATCCTCAAGGCACACAAAGGGACCTGCTTGAAGACCCCAGCATTCATCCTAAATCCTAACAGCAATTACTGACCCCTGGAGCTGCTGAAGTCATGGCAGTAAGATTAGTGGGACAGTTTGGAAGGCAGATGCCCACCCCAGCAGCAGCCTGAGTTGCTCCCATCCTCAGTGTATCTGCACCCAGACGCTGCCAGGATGGCACAGGGAATGCCCAGCAACTCCARCTTTATGACAGTTCCTAAATAAGGACTTTACAGCTCACTGAGTTGGAAGACTTTCACCTGAATGAGCAAACAATGAAAACCATCTCTTCAGAGCTCACCATAACCTCTGTGGTTATTTTATAGCACACACATGACACAGCAAACAATCAAACAGCCCAGTGCAAAAGCCCTGAGATTCCAGGTGTTTGAGCTCCCTCAGGGGATGAGCTGAAGGCCAGCACACCACAGCACCAATATTGATCAGAGAGCAAGTGGAAAATGCTGGGTAAAACTGCCGACACAACCAGCTTTCCAAACTGACCCCTGCTCAGGCCTGAGTGGGCTTGGAATTGAACCTCGGGAAGATGGGAACAATTCCCTCAGTTCCATGAAACAGCCCAAAGAATCCTTTCCTGTCAGGGACTCTCAGCACTTTCAGTGTGGTTCTGCCATCACCTTCACAGCCAGAGCTGGGGTGAATAAAGATCTACCAGAGTCCATCCCAGTAGGAAAAACTGAGTGCTGAAGAAAATCCCTGTTTCCATTTAACTCCTCATTTTTTGCARCCAGAGCTGTGGGATCTGACATGCACACTCCCCCACTAGATGAACACCTGTGTACACTCAAATACACGGGGGGCTGTGGGGACACAAAAGAGTTAACATTCTCTAATTTAAACTACATGTCCTCCTCAACTTAGAAAACGGCCAGCGGAAAACAAAAAAAATCCTCCTATTGTGTACCTTGCTTGGGAACTTCCACACATGAAGCACTCTAGAAGTGCCACAGGAACCCAGGGAACAGAACCCTTCCTCRAGARRCTACATTTCCTCAGTGTTAAAGTCTGAGGAAGATTAAATCCCTGCTATTTACATGAAYAACCTGGAAGCTMCTGCAAGATGGGAATRRTGAGGAAAATCTCCCAACCTGCAACACTGAAGCCATTTATCAGCCTAATAACCTCACCTGTCCTTGCTGCTGTTTTCCTTCACGTGCAGTCCTTGTGATGGTCTTTATAAAAAATTCAAGCATTACATTGTTTGATTTTGAAACTCATCTTTCTGTTACAAGCCATGTTTCAAGTTGTTTTGCTTGGCTACTTTTCAACCCTTACACAGAATTTGAAAAAAAAACATAAAGTCTAAAATATGGCTGAACCAGCTCCTRATTTCACTTTACCTTAACATAAGGAAAAATTGGTACAATTTTGATGCAGTAACACATCAAGCGTTTTGCATATTCAAACAATTTCTAATTAATAGGCACAGCGAGCACCCTGTTGTATTTCATAAATATGCAGCTCCACTTTTATGAGTAGGAAAGTACTCATAAATGATCAATTCTTGGTGTTGTTACCATTTCCTTCTCATGAAAACAGGGTGAAATTATTCAGCAAGGAGACAGACAAACCCCAGATGTTAATATTTTGCAGTCCTAGCAGAATTTCTTGACTTCYGGAAAGAAACATCTAAAAAATGTGTCCCAGTATTGTAAGTTCAGGATCTCCCCTAAAATCCCACAGAGCAGGTGTGCCTTAACAACCACAACATGGACACAGTTCTAATGGACAAATCACAGGTCAGAGACTTGYCCTGACCCTCTGGGTGGGTGAGAAGCTGATTTAATTTACTGCAAATCATTCTCAAAGGGTAACTCTGCAGTTCCCAGGTAATGAGCTGTTATCTCCAATAACAACTGAATACAGATTCCCTCACTTGCTTAACCTTGGGGCCAGATGGAGGTTTTAGCTGCTTGAGCTACTTATTTTCCTTCTTAAACACAGCAAAGCCAGTATGGATTAGAAGAACCAGGAAAGTCTAACATACCAAACTAGTTCTATAAAGATATTTTCTCTCTGGTGGCACAACAGCTGCATTTTACCATAGCCAAGGGATGGTGTGGTCTTCCAAACCTGCCCTGCAGTGTACTCCGCTCATCCAAAGCTTGGTGGGCCCAAAACTCTCAAACTGAAACTCTGCCCATCAGCAGAAACCAAAGCCATCAGGCACACTTCAAATAAGAGACTTGAAAATTCAGCGTGAGGTTTGTAATCAGAGACTTAAACCCAAACATTTGCAAAACCACAGAAGACAAAATAGCCCTATAGGGTGAAAAAGCTTCCAGCGTGCATTATTCCAAAAGCACATCAACTTTCACAGGCTTTGTGACTCAGTAGACTCAGTTTGGCCACATTTCTTCCCAGTGGCCTACTCYAGAGTAAATTATATTCTGTTTTGGACGTGGAAAAAACCATCTCTGGATTGTCAGTGGTTTTTGAAGCAAAGTATTTCACAAGAGAGATGCTACMATGTGAGGTTTGCTGCACCTTTCAAGTACCACCCAGACTGCTACAAGTGCAAAATTTAGGTGCTTTCTACTGTTTGTAAAATTGAAACAGAAAATATTGACACCTTTTATTGTGTAGTATAAACTGCCGCCAGAACAGGCTACTCCTATTTTGCAATTCCGTTACTGCTGCACATGGGATTTGAACAAGATGTCATTTTCTTCTTATTAATTTCTTGGTAAACCAGTTTATTTCATGAGGCCAGTTGGGCTTTTAATGCTAATCACAAAACACTGTGTCCTACTTAAAATAAAAWATTAATTTTAGAAGCATTTAGAAGGTTAATAACTAAGTATCAGCATGCATCTTTTAAGTGCTTTAGCTTTGACTCCTACCTTGAAGGCTTTTTTTTTCCAGTCCTTCATACAAGTTAAAATCATTCATTTTAAGATTACTTTCCCTCCAAAAAGTACTGCTTACCAACCCAAATATTGTTTTTTTTCCGTAACCCTGACCACAAGTGACAATCATGCAGAAGCAGCTGTAGGATTCCCCTTCCCCTACATTTGTTCCCCACAGCTTCTGGCTTCTGCACATTRTACAATATACTGCTTATTCAGTCTGCTTCTCAAACACCAAGGTGGGAAAAGYTGCGTTACTGTGAGAGTGGGAAAGCTGATACTCATGTATTTCRGGCTATTCTGTTTGAAAGATTAAAACGTTGTTCAAAGTTGATTGTTTCAATTAAGCCACCCTGGTAGGGTGGATGGTGTTAAACCAYCACACCAAAGAGAACACCTGCCCACATCCTGCTCAGAGAACACACACACAGCGCTCGAATGGCAGCTCCCCCAGTACTTACCCACGCCGCTCTTGTCTGTCTTGTGCCATCGTGCCATCACACGTGAATCCGGGAGGCTCCCAAGGATGTCCACCCCCAAGGAACCCCAGATTTATGGGATGCAGCCTYGGAGATGGTGACAGACCCAGGCCCCGGAAGCGCAGTCGGTCCCCAGCCCTCAGAGGCAGCRGCGAGGGCTCTGCGAGATTTTGCTGCTGCTCGGAGCTTCCTTCCTCTTTTCTCAACTACAGATATTGTGCCCGGTGTCATGGGGGAGGGGAATCCCAAACTGGGTGTTTCTCTTGCACGATGTCACTGTAAACACATCAGCAGGAAAAAAGGGCCAAACCCACCCCAGGAGTGTGTGGCACCACCCCCGGACTGCAGAGCAGTGCGCTGCCCGGACACAGCGACAACCTCTGACCAAGGGTCACTTCAGCCCTGGACACCAGACCAACACCAGACTCGAAATGTTTGACCTCACAAATGCTCCTCAGAGGAGCTTTTAAAAGCTCCTCTCTTCTAACCTGTCCTCAAACACAGATTTGCGCTTCTCACATCTCCTCTCGTAAGAGAAATGAAGACAAAGCCACATTTCAAACCACACCCATTCTTTTTAATTTCTCTCATTTTATGTTTAGAGAGAGTCTCCTACTCCTTCCTCTCTTCTCTAAACAAAGCAGTACTTTCTTAAAGACTTATTGTCAACACAAAACTGCCAAAGTCGTTTTTTACAGCCTGTGYTTCCACACGGGCTAAGTGTGAGCCAACTTGGGTAAGGACATCTCRGATGTGCAAAGACCAAGCCAAGTTGTTTTCAATGTGGATTAAGGACAAAATACTGAATTGAAGGCAGTCTGGCACCTTAAAGCACAAAATCTGCGTTTTACTCATGAGTTTAAAAAACCCAAACAAAATACTTGCCAGATTTACTGCTTGCTTGATCTTTGGCTCAGTACAACAAATTCAGTTGACAATCCTGTCGTCTGGATATCCCATTGCAATTAAGCAATCATTGTTTATCCAAACTGTTTAACACTGCCATGCTACATCCATCGGGACATTTTTGACAACACRTGACATTTTATTTCTCAGCCTTAGCTAGCAATCATGTGGAGCACACACTGCCACTGTCTCTCATTGCATGTGGAATTCTGATAAATATTTCTGGAGGAAAATCACTTTAACCTTTCCACCACAGATTTGCGTGAATTGGTCTAATCCTAACCACATCTACATAGAAGCTTAGAAAAGGATTTAGCTCATTACTCGTCGCTAAAATAACATTGAAAGTCATATTATGTTTACAAAAGTGGGCTGAACTCCCAGCACCTCCCCTTACCTCCATTTATAGACAACAAGCTTCATCTAAAAGTTCTAMATCTTCTCTATCCCTGGAAAATCCACTTCATCCTGTTATTCTGTCAAAAACAGTTCTTGAGGCAGAACCGTTTCATCTTTTACTATGGGTTTTGARTAGTAACTTCCTAATCAGTGGTAATTATCTTCCTTACTCCTCCCAAGCCCTGTTGCAGCAAATCCCCCCTTCCCATTCACTATTTAGCCTAAAGGTTGACTTATTTTCCTGTTCTACATTGCTCTTCCTTGCTGTGTTTCCCTGTAACACAGCGCTGAGGAAAACTGTTACTTTCTAGCATTTCTTGACAAACCTGCTTCTCCAAGTAGGTCTAATAAACCTAGTTTTAATACCACTGTCTTTTGTAAGTAAATTATCTAAAATACAGAAATTTCACCTGCAAAAYGGGATTAGATCTGCAATACTTTTCTGATTCTGCACAGCACAGCACAAACACTGTGGGCCAGCCTCACATCCCCTCTTGTACCCTCCCAATTCACCCTCAATTCCCAACTTGAGGGCCAAAATTCCAGCAGGATTTGCTGCCTCCCACTGCCAGCCCCTTCCCCAGAGCAGCTCCCAGCACTGCCCACAGCTGCTGGCACTTCCTCCTGGCAACTTTCACGATGATGCTTTTGCAACTCCTCAGTTACTGGAATTCACTGCCACTTCATCTCCCTCAGCTACCACCTCGTCTGACAGTCTGAATAAAAACCTACCTGGAACTCCAAATGAATGGATTGGGAAACAGAATGCTTTCTTGTTGCAAGAGGAAAGTGCACTCAGAGCAAAACATGCACAGTAACCCTAAAGTTCTGTTCTTACAGCAGAGAACAAACCCCAACACAAGTCTAAACAATTCAGATGGACAACAGTTMCATCCTTTGTCTCTGGGGGTGTTTATTCCAATTTGGTCCACATTGATATTCCACAGAAAACAGTGGACAGATCCATCACACTCATATTTTCTGCTTAAGTCTTTTTCGAGATAGGTCTTTTAAGGAAAATAGAAAACTCCTTACTTCCCCAAAAGATGAAACTCCCCCTATGCAGGGAGTTCACATGAAAACCTCACCTTCTGGGGGCTGGGGAGGGCAGGAGGGAGACAGTTCTTGCTTCCTTCAATATTGCTATCAGTTCCAGAAAACAAGACCTTGTTAGTTGCTGAGTAGCTAATTAYCCATTTTTAGCCATGCTAATTTCCATTATAAAGAAGAATTTGARCAGAATACAGAAGTTGCACTTGACTGCCTCTAAATCCTATTCTATGCCAAGATCTGTGAGCACAGCTGCAGAAAAGCAACTGATGAGACAAAACAGAACCAAACAAGGAAATACACTGAATACTGTCATGGACAGTACCTCAAATGTGCTGTGGCAAACCCAAAGGCTGAATCCCAGACACGCTCCCCCCACTGCCAGCTGCACTCCTGCCAGAGGATGGATAAACACAAATAAATTGCTTAAATTGGTAAAGGTTACATACTCCAAGTGAACTTCAGCAGCAGAGACTGTAAAGCAGATCCTGGGGGTAATTAGGTAACTCTAATCAGTTTCATTCATTAGTTGAAATGATATGCCAGTTTTGTTTGTMGCATAAATTAACAAGTTATTTCAATCTAAAAAAGGAATTTAGAAATGCCATATGCCAAGCAGCTCAACATATAGTTAACCATAAYATAAATCAACACACAATGAACATAACTCAACACATAATTAACTGTTTAGTAGATAATCCACAGCTCATTACAACTATTTAAAGTATATCATCCAATTTCAACTTACCGAATGTCTTCCTCTAAGTAGAGCAATCATGTACTCCAGTTTTTATGCTATTTGTGTCTCAGAGTAGTGACAGTAAACAAATGTAACTTGCATAATTTGCATTAAAAAAGGGATTTTTTCCAACACTTTGTAAAGTGAAAAGGAGGATTTCTTCAACACAGCATCATTTAAGTTCACATGTCAAACTCAAGAACATATTTTTTCCATGATTGATTTATAAGAAGTCTTGAAGAACMTGTCTCTTTACTACTGAGTCTTTCATTTACAAAGTGGCTAATCCATTCACCAGAGGGATCTTAAACTGTAGTATGACAATTTCAATGAAGTAATTCAACTTCCACACAAATGTTCAAGAAAGTAATGGAAAAAAGCCTAAAAGCTCTCCTCAGACTTATTCTGCATGAATTTCAGAAAGTTACAGAAATGTTTCCTAAAAACATGACACACAGCACCAGCATTAGCTTGCTTAGCATTTATTGAGTGGTACCTTTTTTTTTTAAACAAAAAGTTCTACAAAAGACATCACCTTCAATTAAAAAATGGATACAGGTTTTTTCTCAAATACAATACAGGCTACATTTTATAAAGAAAGAAATAAACTTTTATTTTAATYATCAGTACAAATACAAGAATTCATAGAGTTTCAGAACTTGACCAATGAAACACAGGAAGTGACTGACATGCACTTTTGCAATTAGGTCAGCCTGAATGTTGAAAAGTTACACCTCAGGAGGAAAAAATATTAGGAATTCTCAATCTGTGAACTGCAAGAAATTTAGGAGCACATCACTTAGTTGAGTTCTCCATCAACACTGTCTTACCTGTGTTACTTTAATAAAACCTCTGTTAGCCAGAACTTGTACTCAACAACAGCCCCATGCTTCAAACAAACAGCAATTAATGTGTTTAGAGACCGTGCCAAGAGTCAGGAACAGGCCACACCTCAGGTCAAGTGCCAGGGAACACAACAGGAGTCCTCTGGGAAGTCATCAAAAGTGCAGCTCTGCCATGCAATCATGCCCTTCACAACACCACAGAGATCAATGTTGAAGTTAGCAATCTGTACCCTGATGGGTGACACAAGGTCACTCAGGTTCTCCTGCTGAAGCTCCAGGCTCCTTCCAGCAGTGTCAGTKTTACTGCTGAGCACACTGTGTTTCAGAGCTTGCCTTAGAAGACACGTACAATATTGAATGTCTTTTCTTCTGTGTTTTCTTCTCTGTTGAGATTTTAGTTTCTCTCTGATCTTCTTCTGTAGTTTCAAGTCTGCATTCAGCTGTTAACCTACAGGCAAAGCAACCAGTCTAAATACATATTTAGTTCATATAAACCACGACTAAAATAAGAATTTTAGGCAAAATCAACAAGACAACTGGCATACAAGACTATCCACATACAAAGACAGAACAGCAGAGTTTAAGAAGAAAATGAGACTAAACCAAAGAATTTTGTATYAGTCCTAATCACATTCCAGCACTTAAAGCTTCCCCCTGACACATTTTATCTGTTGAAATGTTGGATAAGAAAGGTTACTGAACGTGTTAAGTGGCTGAGATGAGCCTTCAAAAACACCAGTGACTGTGGCCTGCACAGAAAGGAGATCCAGACCCCAAAAGCACAACTCCAAAGAAAAAGTCTGAGCAACATCATACAAATAGGATGAAGTYAACCATACCACCCAAAAAGACCACCCTTAAAACAATACACTAGTTTCAAGCTAATTCTGCACTCTTTTTGCCTTTAGCTTAGTGCYTGAATATCTTAAGCTGAGGGGAGATTTATTTTCTGGCTCTAAATTATAATACTTGTCCTCTGAAAGGACATTCTGCCATGAATGTAAATGGGAATAAAACTGTCTCATTGCTGCTAAAGAGAGAATTCTGACACCAAAACATCAGATTGTGTTCAGATGCCTAAATCTTGTTTTTAACTTAATGAACATGCAAACATGCCATTAGAACAATTGAAGCATAGTGATATTTTACCCAACCAAGTCACCCACAGCCCCAATGACTGTTACACAATTATTTTCACAAAAAAAGACATGATGGAAAATTAAGTTCCAAATGAAACATCACTTTATATAGCAACATAAACTCCATGCTCRTTCATTAGCACATGCTGTAAAGCARTTTTCTCATTACTTTGAGGATTTCTAGTGGTCTCAGGAGCCCTCAGCTGCCCCCACACCAYGGACAGCTACTTTCAGTGGTGTTTTTCCAAACTGCTACTCAGGTATTAAAAAAATATTTGCAGTGCAGAGAGGTGCAGCTGAACATGAGGACTAGGAAAGGYGCTGTGACAAAAAGGTTTGGGGAAACTTAGCTACAGATTCAAGCTATTATGCACTGCAAGCTGTGTGGATATTATTCCCTATAAGCACTGTCTCCACAGGCTAAAGAGCTCTGCTGAGCACCTCCTCCAGATCAGGGTTTGCTCCACCATGTGCTTTGCACCAACTCCACACCTGTAACTCCCCTGGCTGAGCACCTTCTGCCCATGGCCACTTCTCCCCCAACATGCTCTTCATTTCAAATTACACAAATTATTATGTGACTACAGCATGAAGCTAAGAAAACAGTGTGTCCTCAGCAGCCATGATGTGGCTTGCACTTCCCCAGCAGCTGCAGTTAGGGATGGGCAGCTTCCATCCATGAATCTGCTCCTATGGCAGATTCCTTTCATTTGTCCCTCCACTCCTCTGCCTTAAACAACCTCAGTCCAAGGCCACCAAAAGCACTGCTCTAGTRGCCAAAATTGCCAACAAAGACTCCCTATGAACATGCAGAAAGAAATCAAATCAAAAGATCAAATAAAAACCACATTTACTTAAATTCTGTCCCAAATTAGCACAACTGGATTTATACAAAAKATTGTCCTTTTACAATATTAGGTAGTTCTGCTAGCATATAATATAACAACTCTGGAAATTAAATTTACCCAGTGCCTCTTGGTGAGGAGAAAACAGAAACCAGGATTTGAGGGAGTGAAGCTGAGCTTGGGAAGAAGAGCTGGGGCAGTTTCTTTCTTTCTCACTCACTGTCTAATTGGCAAGAGTTAACCTTCCCCAAATCTTGTGTGCCCAGCACCAACTGACCTCTGCCATCTTTATCTCTACCCACAGGCTTTTTCCAGCTAAGGCTCCSATTTCTCCTGTGGAAGAGAGGAAGGAGAGCAGCTGATGGGCAGCTGGAGCAGGCTGAGGTTCACCCCCACAGCCCCCCCAGACCATTCCTTAGAGCACTGTCCTGGCTCATCAGGTGTTTGCACAAGGGAACAGATCACAAACAACAGACAATGATTRAACATTTCCACTTTAGGCAAATGCTTGTGAAACTATGACATGATTCTACCAAGCTTTGACTGTACAGACTCCAAAACTGAGATCTAATTGGGGCTCCATTTAAGGAAGATGAACTTGTCTCATCAGGTGGGGCTTTACTTCCCAAGGCTGAGGGCCATCCTAAAACCCTAAAGAGCATTATTAGTTATCCAGATCTGCTGCTGAGCCAAATGGCCACAGGCAATTGGACACAGCCCAAGTGAAGGAGCTTTGGTAGAGGTAATCCAACTAAATAATTTAAGGGGGCAAATAAGCTCTTAGGCACCCAAGCTCTTCTTCAGATCAAACTCCAGCAAACCATCACTAACCTAAATGCACAATAAATTGTGCAGCAAGGGYCAGAATTTGCTATTTCAGTTTCAGAAGGGAAGAAAAGCATTTTAATATGGAAATGTATCTTTTTATTGACCACTTAGCTGGCCTAAAAAAAGATACCAATGCACACAATCTTTGCATTGCCAGAACTTCAGCAGCCATTGACTAATAATAATCACATGAATATTTCGATTTTAGTCTCAGCACTCTCCTGTCATAACCTAATCAGCACCATCACCTAATGAGCTACTCCAGTGCTCCTCTGCAAGGACACAGACACAGCTTTGGCTGAGATAATCCAGCTGTACCTGGTTAAATCATCTCAGCCAGAAATGTCTTCACATAAGGGCATTTGTCACCTCCACAAGTACACACAGATCACTTCTGACCACTTCCTCATTGCCTCCTGAGYTGAGATGACACAGATTCTAAACATCACTTTCTAGAAATGAAGCTTGCAGCCCTTTCACTGCTACAAATGCACAAAGTTACTCCAGGCAYAAAACCAACCCCCGAAGTCCACAAYAGCCTTTCCAGCTGGAGCACCACATTTCAGGTAACACAAGGTGAAACACTGACAAATAGCCACCATTATTTTTCCTCCCCCAAACTCTCCATCTTCAGGTCCATACTCTGATCAATTTGCCAACGTTTTTGTTTCAAAGTTCAGCCACATCCATCACAGAATAATCTAGAGATTCCTTCAGTGTTTAGAATATATTCTCAAATATCAGACTTTAACATGACTTCCTATTTCATAGCACATCATAGCAGATGAGGGTTAAGAAAATCCTCAATGTTACCTTAACATCATGACTTGGGGTTTTAGTAGTTCATTAACACAATCAGAAGCAAACAGAACTTTCTGCCTGGATTTGCCTTTTAGAGACTCATACTATCCTGAAAAAAAAAGCTTAACTTAAATGGAGTTTTGTGGCACTTTAATTGTGATGGTGATTTTTATTTTAATTTTTATTTTAAAAATATTTTTTGTTTTGTTCCTTATTTGAATCAACAGCAACAGGTACAAGATTAGACACCTCCCCCTGAACTATGGTTTCATCTTCCTTTCACTTTTTCTACTCTCTCTGCTTTCCAACATCAATTCCATAAACAATTTCCAYTCCTCACCCACTGTCCAGCAGGTTCCCCCTTCAGTTAATATAAACTATTTCCAASAGCTTCCTGTTAGCAAACACTGTATCTTCTTTTCCAAAAACAATATGAGGAAGTAAGTYAAACTTTTCATACCAGGTTACATTCTGCATGTTCCTTTATGGGTAGAGGACATWGTGAAATCACAATACCATCACTAAATTATCCCAATCTCTCCTCTCCACTTTCACCCACATCTGACCTTCCTGATTTTGCCTCCTCACTAACAGTCCCTGCACATTTTAACCCAGCTGCTAAAACTTCTATTACTGCCATATTCTCTCCAYAGTTCAGGAGACTGCAGTGTTTGGCTGCTTTAAGTCTGTTAATTACATCCATGCAACCTTGAGTAATTGATCTAAGAGTCAAAGCATCAATCCAATTACTTCTGAATGCCATTAACTTTGGCTATTTCTTCTAGCAGACACTAGCTATCTGCAAGGTCCAAACATCTAGACTACCCTAGACTTTTTTCTACCCCCAAACACTCAAATACGTATTTACAAAGATTATGAACAGAATACAAAAGGCATGAGTTGAAAAATTAGAAAAACAAAGTCAGCATTCATTTTATCAGGATAAAAAAGCTGGAGAGGGTGACTGCTCTCAGTTACTTTACCATCTAGCAAAAAGTAACTTCAGTTCTCAGTTCCAGGGAAATATTTCATCTTAATTTGGCAGTTGTGTTTCCAGCTATTGTGCAACCAGATTATGCAAGTCATTTGTCTGACAACACAGATAGCTAATTAATCTTGTACGATGAAAGTTAAACAATTCAGGTCAAGAATTACTTAAATAAGTTTTAATCTTTTAGCTAAATCTGGAAGTTGCTGGGGGCTGAAATTAGGTATGAAACTGGAGCATGATTCCTATTGCCTTTATGACYGTGAGCTGTAACAGAGGTGTGTGGCAGTTTTGAAGGGACCAAGAACACAAAGTTTCTGATGCTGGAGCAAACCAAGTGAGCTGTCATGCTACCTGCACACTTTAAAAGTCTTCAAGCAATAGGAAAGTTATTTCAGAGACTGTTTCAAGAGTCTTTTTTATTAGTCAGCATTTTAGTCCTCCTAAAAGGCAGTGAGAGGTTCAGTGTAGGCAGCCGGAGCTGAGGAATGACACTGCATGCAACACTGAGGAAATAGATAAAGAAGTGGAGAGCACAGTTCATGCAGCGAAAGAAAAGAGATGCAGGTCTGTGCTGATTGCCTTGACCAGAGACAGAAGCTGACACTGACCTGGGGACAGCTGGAGCCAAGGAATTGTTTCCACTTCTGCTATTTGAAGAAAAGGTAACGTGATTCTCATCTTGAATTTTAACTCTTTTCTTTTCTCTTTCAGGTTCAACAAGGTTTCGTATTGCCTGGAGAGCTGTATTCAGTGGGGATGCTTGGAAAGGCTGTTTTTTTGGAGAAGTATCACTTTGCTCCAAGTTCTTGGTAGTCATCTTTTTTCCTTCCTTACTTGGCAACTGAGTGAGAGTGSTTTCTTTTACTGGAGTATTTTTGCTGTCAAAGTATTCACAAGTAGTGTCCCCTGGATTTCTCTCCCTCTTCKTTTTAATTTTAGAACCTTTAAGTAATTCTAAGGAAAAAAAGAATATACTTTCAGTACAAAAGAGAAGCTAGAAATGGCCTGTCCACCAATGTGCTCATAATAAAACTAAAAAAGAACATTTCATATGACTAAAAACCCTGGAATAATTCTTAATAGACAATTTATCTCACTTAAAGAATACCTCTTCATATAATCTAACAATCCCAACAGAAGTTAGCTTGAAAAAAAACCAACCTCTCCTCATCCACACTGTCTTTTCACCAAGGCTTTAAATTAGATGCTCTGAACTGCAGGCTGCTGAGGTAAGCTTCCACAAATAACATTTTAAAATTAAATCCTTTGGGTATAGACAAAACCCATTTACCTGTCTGGTTCCCATTCATGAAATCCTGGAATGGTTTGGGCTGTGAAGGATATTAAGGCTCATCTCATTCAAAGACCCTGCCACGGGCAGGGTCACCTTCCACTATCCCAGGTTACTCCAAGCCCCATCCAGCCTGTTCTTGGACACTTCCAGGCATGGGGCAGCCACAGCTCCTCTGGACAACCTGTACCAGGGTTTCGCCACCCTCCAGGGACTTTTCTTCCTAAAATCCCATCTAAAGCTCTCATCCAGTTTAAATAGAATCATTTTYCTCCACAGCCTACAGCTCCTGGCTTTGCATATACACAGGTGCACACACTAAGCTGTTTTCCAGGTGGGCCTCTGTAGTCACAATTTAATCAATATAACTGGAGCTATGAAACCGATTTTCCTGTAAATTTGTTGCACCTTATTACACAGTTCCTATCAGCTGCCTACATCCAGAGAGCCCAGGCTTCTTATCAACACAGCAACCCTGCTGCTGTTACGGGAAACACCTGAGATTTGTTCCCACCCACTTGAGTATGGTTATCTGCCTATGCTCTATAATGCCTCTCAACACTCATTTCTAACTGTAGAACTGTGCTCTCTAGTCTTCTCAAGTCAGAGTTCACATATTCAAGTGAGGTCTTGAGCCAGGTAGGGCTTTTCTACTTCAGCTCAGCAGGTTTTGGACCAGGCAGCCATTTAAGCATTAGTTTATTCTGGAACTAAACCAGTGTCTTCCTGTATAATGTGACTCCATTGCTAAAAGCTGAGAAAATCATATATTTATATTTTCCCAGAGACAAAAGAAGTATTTACCTTCAGGTTCATACTTCATTTTTAGCTCATCCAGCACAACTCGCAACTTCATATTCTCACTCTGACAAGCTTGCAAATGCCTCTCATTTGTGAAGAGTTTCCTTTCAAATTCCAGGACCCTTTGGCTCTCATACAGAGCTTTCATTCTCTGCAGGGATAGTTCGTTTTTCAATGTTTCAGTTTCCTTGCTGGAGTGGGAGGAAAGTTATAAAATCATTCAGACTTGAATCGTTTTGCTTTATTTTTTTTTKAAGTAAAGCAACAGGTGTAAAGACAACTAAACACTCAACAATTTCACCTCAAATTTGTATTTATACACTAGTAAGAAAAATCAAACATTTTTGTYCTATAAAACATTTCAAATGTTATTCTCTCTCTCTTATTAGAAGAGAAATAAACATGTACAGCCTAAAGACTATGACTCTTCATACAGTTTCCTTAATCAATTAAAAGTTAATCTGTAAAAGTTCTCAATTGTCCTGTATCTAGGAGTCTTAACATTTCTGGAAGAAAGCAATTATATCCAGTTGTGCTGCTGTCTTATAAAACATAAATGAAACTACAAACAAAACACCTCTCAGTCCTATAATGAAGTCAGGTTGGTTCCACAGCATCAGAAAATGCAACAAGACACAGCTGCACACACAGTCAGTGCATAGAGACCKTAACAAAAGTGGGAGGATAAAAACAAGTACCTAGAAAATAACCCTGCKACAACAATTTCTAGACCTCAGGCTGTAAGTACTTACTTGGAGTTGTCCAGTTTAATTTGCAATAAATCTGCATAGTAGCCATTTTCAGAATCACTTCCTTTTGAGCTATTAGCAGGTCTGGACTCTTCCATATTCTCATATAAACTCTGATAAAGAAAAAATGTCAGCTTGTCAAGCAGTGACCTTTCAGAAGCACATTAGCTTAGTTCTTAGGGGACATTTTCCATGCATTTCTATGGAGAAGCCTCATCACAGAGGGATTTAAACACAGAAGATAAAACTCGGCTGCTGTGAGTACTTTCCCATTTGTTACAAAAGTCAAATAGCACTGAAACTGACAGCTCTGTCTCACTCACTGAAGAAAGTAAAAAAAGGTAAGTTATCTCAACATCAGAAGCTTTGCAAGTAGCACTGCAGAACAGCTTTCTTGCTTTTTATTTGAAAAGACAGGATATTTAGTTAACCCACAGGGAATTTTTTCAGCATTTATTTCTAGGCTTCAGCAGCTGGACCCCAAAGSAATAGAAGCCATGCTTATCAACAGTCAAAATCTCAAAATCAATTATGTATTTCAGATGAGGAAGCTGGCTAATGGTAAAGATGTTATAAATGCAGCAACATGGGACACTGGGGTTTTTGTTTAGATTTTTTTCTGAACAAGCAGTACTCAGGTTTAATTCTGTCCCACAGACCTCACAGGTCTCTGTTAGCCACTGACTACAGATACTTTTGATGGTTATTGGAATCAATCATTCACCTTCCCAACGTTGCTTATTTATAGCCTGGAGACAGAAATAAGTACAAATCAAGCTTAAACATGACAAACTGGAAAAACAATCCGGCTTCCTCAATTACTGCTAAAATGGGTTAAGCCTGGCTTCACACCACTTGGGTTAAACACAGAATACAGGAAGCTATCCTGGAAAGCATAACCCTGCTGCACAAGCTGATACACCTCAGTTTACATTCCAGAGCTGTGATAAGGAAAGGCCAAACAAGTCCAGAAATATGAAAGAATTAAGAAATGCTACTGATGTTTGTGTGTTTACAGAGTGAAGAACTGTATCTTTGCACTTGTATATAGAGGAGTCCTCATGTATTTCTCACTTTTCAAAATATTGATAAGGTGTGATTCAAGTTGCATAAGAGGACTGAAAAAACTGCTTTACAAGGAGAGTTAAGCAATTCAGTTTAGCTGGAAAAGAGCATGCTTCAGCTGCAGAGTTGAGACACATCAAGAAAATAAATATCCAGGAAATTCAATAGAGCTGAGACACTAGAAAAGGCTAAAGCCACACAGTAACAGTGCCAAATGACTACATCTTCCAAAAGAAAAATTGGGTATCACAGCTCAGTGAGCTTTGACCAAATAACCAAATTGAAGTGCTGTAAGTAACCATGTAAGATATGAAGGTGCTTCACATAGGAACCCACAAAAAATTCTTTCTTCAACCCAGGTGTTGGGTGGTGTAGAATTTTCTGCTTCTCTGCACTTCAGGAGTCTCTGTTCTCCATCTCTAAAATACAACTCAAGCCAAATAAATGTATGAGYAGCTTTTCGATCCCTTTTCAAACCAGAGCCTGGACTTCAGACAGTTCTCATAGTTCTTTCTGTTCTCATATTTTAGCTTCCAATTACAATTTTCTACTTAATTAAAAACCACATACCTTAAATTTTTCTAGCTGCCTTACTTTCATAAGCAGATCTTCTATTTCACCATTCTTTTGCTCTAACATTGACTGTAAGCGTTCTAGCTGATCAAATTCTGMCTGGGAGCCTTTCAGCTGTAGCAGTGTAGCCATTTGCAGCTGGAAAAAAGAAAAAAAACATTTACAACAAATACTGGGATTAATGATTGAAAATCCCAGCCTCTTACCCAGAACTGTGTAGGTACTCAAGCCTTTTAATTCTAAACCTGAATGTAGAAGTGCACTGGATGCCTAAACTCAGTGTTCACCACACAATCTTAGCAATTCTCACCCAACTCCAAGTCATGAGGAGAGCTGAAATCTTACTGAACAGTGCAGTGCTGAGGGGTCACWCTCATCTCTGTATTGGCCAAAGAACAAACAAATGCACTACCAAGGACACACACAACATTCCACACTCACACCATAAACACCAAGCCAGCCAGAACCCAGTTACAGCCCAGGCTTATTTGTCAGAGCYGAAAAGAATCTTGAGAACTCAGGAAATCCCACAAGTTTAACCTCCCATTTTTTTTTCCAGTTCTGATTTTGAGGTATAACACCACCATGTTTGCCTTTTACAATACTAACCCAAGAAYTTCAGCTTTTTCTGCTTCTCCAATGGAATGCATATTTTCAAGCAAAAGAACACCCTCTGTCATTCCAAAGGAGAAGGTATAAAAATCTTGCATTTTAGAGCAGCATTTCTGTTGGTGTTAACATAGTAATGTTGAAGCTCAAGGGTCTTAATACATTCAGTTACAGGTGATACATTAGACATTTAAACAACATGGAACACACTAAATAAAAGATTTCACAAGAAGTTAGTGAGAACTGAGACATTTTTATCAGTCTAGTCAGTATGGATAAGGTAACACTGGGACAAAACACAGAAAGTATCAAGTGAAAAAATTGGACTATAGAGAGGAAGCAAGAAGAGCATTTTCCCTATAGAAGATCCTGTGCCAAGTAAAGGGTATTGATGATCCTGTACACAAATTAGAGCTAATGGAAGATTCARTCATCTCCTCATAGCTTCTACACAATGTAAGGGAGGCAAAATGGTAAACTTCCCTCACTGGCTGACTAAACCTGTCTGTACAGTTCCCAAGCACAGACACCCAACCTTTGCCCTTTTCACTTAAAAGTCCTCCTGCTGTCAGAATTGCAAATTGCAGCTGATCTACATAACAGAGAACCAGAACATTAAGAAACTAGAAGGGTTGCTCTGGACTGGGAAAAATACACTTGAGGTGATAAAACATCCCMAGGAGTGCTGTGTACATTCTGTTCAGGAGTCAGACCCTCAGGATTTACCAGTAAATGCCACAAAGAAAGATTTTTCGACTAAAGCTGACACAGCAGTGAGCTCTCCTGTGGGAAGCAGGTGTGAATGGAGAGATCAGCTACAGACTGAGCTTGAACTGGCAGCAGCACAGAGCAGCACAACACAGAGAGGATGCTATCAGGGATCTAAGGCAGCAAAACAGCTGTCACAACAAACTACCTACCTCCAATACTATTAGAGGAAATTTTATTAGTACAAACATATTCCAAATTTGTAGTAGGATTTGTAGCATTATGTACTAGGACAGGGACACCAATTTGCCTCCATTTTTGGTATTTCTAGTATTAGGTGTGTTTTTTATACCATTCAGTCAGTATGACTGACTTACCCTGTATTACAAGGGGACAATTTCCCAAGAAACTGATCCTACTTTCCTCAGTCAAATCTTTGCTGTATGAGTAGGTTTTTTCTTCACCTTTAAAGACTGTTGTTTGAACTATTTTCAACCTACTCCACAAAAGCTAGGTAACAAGCCTGTGTCTTCAGTGCAACTCATAATAATTTTTCTTGATGTTTAGCCACTCTCCTCAAACTGCATGACCAAGCAGTTTATCAAACTGAAAAATTCCACTTTAGCATTGGAAAAATAATGATACCAACATGAAAACAGTTAGCAGCTCTGCAGCATCCCCTTTACTTTATCTTGTAAATCAGCTTCTGCTAACAAGTCCTCAACAATATTAACCAACAGGCTCCTATCCTACAGGAGTGTTGTCTAAATTCAAGAGTTATGACACAAGTTATCACTTATTCTTACACCAAAAATATGGAAAAGCACGAAAAGAAATATGGACAAAGACAAGAAAGCAACACAACCTACACTGTGATAGGGGCAAAAGCCTGTCCTTTTCTTTATGCTCATTCCTGACAAGTAGTTAATGCACAAATACTTGATTCATGCAGTACAAGAATTAGACAAGAAAAGAAAAAAGACAAGACAAACTGAATGCTAGTTTGGCTGACAGGAGTTGTGTTTTAATTTTACCCATTAGACAACTACTGCCAAATTAAGCAAACACGGTGCCTTTACTGTATCATGGATGCTGTTGTACTRTAGGAGTCAAACAGCACAACATCTTCTCACTTATTTTCTCTCCCATTTCCCTCCCCCCTRAGCAGTGTATCATATTTAAAGGATAACAAATCCCCTAGCCTGTGCATTAAAGCAGTGCCTTATCAGACCCAAGGATACCCTGGAATATTACAGTAATCATCATACCTTCATTCTTTGCAATTGTTCTCTATTGAATGCATGCTGTTTTTGTAGGGACTGATATTTTATTTTCACACTGATCAGCTGTCGTTCCATTTCTGCCCTACGGTCCTCCACCTACAGAACATTGTGAACAATTATTACTGTGAAATTACAACACTTGTTCTCACTTGGATGATGAGTTTGTTAAGGACATGTTGCTTAGCAATTGATGTTCAGTCTGCAAATAGTGCTTTTCCAGCACAGTACTTGAATATACAGGCTACTGTCATTCCTCCAGTGATAGATGTGAATGGACAGTGCTCCGGTGCCGATCAGTGAAATGAAACAGAGGTTTTTTTTGTTCTTTTGATCTAAAAACAAAGTAACATTTCATATGCTTCAATGTTGCTGTACAATACTTATGCTCACTGGCAACAGAATGTRAACAGTTTCCCAACTTGACCAATGCCCTGGATGTTGTCATGAAGCATCCAGGGAATGCCTCTCTATGCATTTAACAGCAGTTGAACTCTTACTCAAAAACTAATTAAAAAACCCTCCCAAAGGCTCAAACACCCTGACATTTTTCAGTAAGTTTGTAAGACAGCTTTCAACAGCATCTTTTAGTATTTCACACACTGTCTTATGCATTAAAGAAAGTTTTGTCAGCTGAACAAAACTATATATGAGTCAAGAGCTGCAGACAGAATTATAATGAACTCTCAGTCACAACTTTTGACTTAGTGAGATAATTTAAAGTGATTCCATTACATTTACCAACTCTTTATCCTCAGAGAGAGCATAAAATGATACTCCACATGTCAGATCAACACTGAAGTCATATTTGAGGATTAGAAATATCTGAACCTGATCTGGCCAGCATGTAACTCATATTTTTGATACAATATAAGAAAGAAAACTGAAAACACTTCTGGCCTGTGTACRTTCTCAGGCATCTGTGGCATAATTGTACCTCAGCAAAGAGAGAATTGCCTTTACTCGTAGGGTCCAAAGATTGTTGCACTGCRTGATCCAGCTGAAGCCGAAGCTCCTGATTAGCCTCACGAGCTTTCTAGATTAAAGCAAAGAGGATATTGGTCATTTAAGCATCTGATGTACAGCACACACAAATATAATCAGATAGCTTTAACTCWTCTTCATTTCCTATACTTGAACAGAGATAATATTGTACTGAAGTACTTTACATACAGTTCTAGTAACTAAGAGACAAATTAATTTCATTTCACTAAAACACTTAATATTGCACTTGTTCTTCAGGACAAGAGCACAACAAAAAACCTTTAAGCCTTAAGTCTTTGACATGTCAACTGAAATCACAGCATTCAGACCACTCTGYTGTGTTGATCAGTCACAAATACTCTACTCCCCAGTACAAGATTTTCCAARGCATTCAGTACAAATTTGAAATAAAAATGAGAATTCTGCCAGTGACCTGTGAGAAGGTCCCCAAAAGGCAGAACARTGCCATGCAAAGGCTCTCCTTTCACAGCTGCCACAAAACAATGCCAATAGAGAGCATTAAACACCAAACATGATCAACCATTATCCTGCTCTTTCTTTCCCCTCTCTCCTCCCAGCTCCTCAAAACTCCTATTCCACCAAGAAGCTGGCAACACARCTTGTGCAATTCAGGGATTATCTACCATTATCAAATAAAATTAGGAGAATACCTCTAATGCATTAGAGTAAAAAACAACTTCTTTTTCCCTCTCTTCTTTTTCTCCCTGCAGCCGCTCCACCTGGTTCCGTAAATTACTGTTCATGAGTTCTAACTGCTCTTTACTGCACTTCAGCTCATTYAGCTTTTCTTCATCATTGGCCTAAACAAACAAAAAATAAGCAGGAAATAAGAAGTACTTAAAGCAATTGAAAGACAAGCAGGCCCAAGTAAACCAAACACATTTGTTAGTAGTAATTAATTTTARTATAAAATACAATCTTGAAGAAGAGAAGGTATTAAAGTCTAGCTATAAGGTTGTTATTTTTTGCTATGTACACTGAATAAAAATCAATCCTAACTACAGACAGCACCTCAAAATGAAATGAGCAAAAGGGCAGAATTTCATCTTCAATGAGGCTACATTCTAATGATTCAGTGCTACTCACACACCTTCTCATTCTGCAGTTCAGTGAGCTCTAGCTGAAGGTTGAGCATTTCTGAAGACATGGTTTCATGCACACGCTCAGACATCATATGCAGTTCTTCTGATTTGGCAGCAATTATTTCTTTCTGATGGTCCACTTTGTGTCTCAGCTGTTTCTCTGAGAGTCGGGTTTCATCTAGTTCTGCTTTCAGGTTCTCCAACTTAAAAACAGTTGACAACTAAGTAGTATCACTTCATAGCAAATCCTTGAAAAGCACAAYACTTCTAACTGTTCCAATTACAGAAAACATCTTAGAAACACAGGAGTAAGCTTTTAAAAATAAGCATTGTAGTTTAATGTAATTCACAAATAAGTACACAGATGCTCTTTAAAAACCATCCAATCAAGCTCCTACACATGGTAACTATTTTTTTTGGCAGTTAAGAGTGCAATTATAATTTAAACATATAATACCTAAAATGGTATTAAAAATCTATCTTRGCTACATATTAGTTTCCAAACCTTGTTTTTAAGGTCACTGATTTCTTGTCCATAGGCTCTTTCAAGCTGTTCTTTCTGTTTATCCAGTTGCACGTTTTGCTGCTGCTTAAGGGAATCACACTCAAAATTCAAGCTTTCCAACATTCGATTCTTGAGCTCAATTTCTCTCTGAAGAGTGTACTTYTCCTGTTCAAATTTCTGAAAGAAAKAACACACTAATGAATCTAGATGTAATCGTACATTGTCCCCTAAGCATTTGTGAAAAAGCACAGGCTCAGAACCAGGATGCTTGTAGCTCGTTCAATCTTTTGTTGGGAGTGCCAATTAGAGAGATGTAATATCCATGTTTTTTAAAAAAAACCCCAACAAACTCCTGTAAAACGTTACGATTTATAAATGTTATGATTATAACTTGATTGCACAATACCCTCTTCTTCATGGAAACTCTGTATTTCTTTGCACCCAATATGAAGGGTGGGGGCATCTTTTCTGCAAGTGTCACAAATTTAGCCAGAGTTTATGTGCCCTTTCCACCACCACAGAACCCAATTATGTTAAAAATCGCTACAGTCCATCAAGCAGAACAGCTGAGCTCAATGGTTTTTTTAAGACAGCTAAATTGTCTGTTCTGTAATAAATCACATCAACCCTTCCAGACTGAAGAATCATTTTTTAAACAGCTTCCATCTRTGCTTGATTAAATGTTTGCTAATTACAAAGGGCAGCTTCATTTTACTCTTCCATTCAGGCAGCAATTAAAGAAAATAAAGACAACAACAAAAAAAAAAGTCTTGAAAACAAAAGAGGTAATAAGGAAGCCAAATTAAATATGTAGGGATCTTTTCCTTTTCAAAATTACATAACTCTTGAGACACAAAGCAGAATTAAATTTAAAAAAAACCAAAAGCTGTCAGGTATCAAACTGACCTCTGTGGCCTAGACACAGCTTATCAAGGCTTAGCTCCCAAATACCCAGGGCAGGAGCTTTCACAAAAGGATATAGATTGTGCACAGGACAGGTGTGGGAGTGCACTGCTGGCCAGAGCCAAGAMCAACAAAATTCTAGCAGAATTTGCACTCTTGTACAGAAGAGKACACAGAGCTTTCTGAAAGGATTTTGTGCCTGCTGATTGAACTCACACTTGTGTTCACAGTAACTGCTTTGGCTCCCAGATTGCAAAGAGAGGAGTCAAAGATTCAAAAGCTCCAAAGAATCTGTTGGGCAAGCACAGTTCCCACTCAAGATGTTACTCTACTGCATGAAAGCACACAATTGCTTCCCTCCAGCCCTGGAATCTAAGTTCCCAATTGATCTGGTTCACACAGGCCCCTAACTTGGCTCCAGCCTCTCACACAGGATCACAATCTCTAAGAGCAGCTTGACAGCTCAGTAGCTGCCATCTCTGCTGGTCAGCACAACAGGATGATCCTGCCCTGGYTTCCTTATCACTTGTGCCTTCAGCTGCCTCACACAAAGCTTACTGATGGTGAACTGACCAGAATAMAACATTCTGTTCATTCAGAATAGCAGAGGGTGCTGCAACCCTCCAGCTGCTACAAAATAAWTATTTTAGCTCTATCCCCAGAGAAGAGATGGGTGCACAACCAGAAACAGACTAAATTAAGATAAACAATTTATCTGAAACATGGGCTAGCTGAATACAAAAAAGAAAATTGAAGTCCTTCTGAAGTGGAAAATATCTTCCTAATTGTAATTTTCCTGAACAATTCCTAAGAAGAAAACTGGCTAACTAAGTAACACTTCTACAATTCACTATACTACTCTTTTTTTCTACTGCAAAGAAATGTGCTAATAAGTTCAGAACCCTTGGGTATTTGGAAAATTTGAAAACTTCACTACAGAAGAAATCAATTTTACAGTCTTGCTGCTAGCATTCTTCTCACAGCTTTTAAGTGATATAAAGCTGACTGGGCGAGCATACACGAATGAATTGCTAAACACATGCTCTGAAGCAAATTTACTTTAGCATTTAGCATTCATTTTACATTAAAGGCAATTARTCCTACATGATACTGAACACTTGATGCATAATTAGCTACAAAACCCTGTCCTAGTTAGACACAATTATGCTCAATGTCTTAAAGKAGAGAAAAGAGCCCTCTCTACAACTACTTAGAGGTTTATTAAAATTAATCTAGATGCTGGAAGGCATTTAAAACACCTATACCTATMAGAAAATACTTAAAATAAAATAAGGTTCTTGTTTTGAATGTTGAGTAAAAAAGGCAATCATCACCTCAGTTTTCTCAGTCAATTCACGGCGTGTTTGATCCAACTGATTTTGAACYTCACTTTGGGACTCCAGCAAATGCAAACCATACTGTGCTGCCTTTCTTCGCTCATTCTCKGCTTCCTTGAGTTGCTGCTTAAGACTTAAAATGGTCTCTGTCTCTGCCTCTGCCTCCATTTTCTTCCTTTTTTTTATTAAACACTGCAARCACAAAATAATTAAAAAGATATTGCAGTAAATTACAGTAGTTATGTAAAAGAAGTTATTGGATTTATACTYACAGCACAGAATGATATATTTTTGCACTAATAGAAGACACACACACAAAGATAGASAGCTCACAAACAGTCCTGTGAACAGTAAAATAACAGCTATTTCTTCATAAAACGTGATTAGTGCCTCATTCTTGATTATGTCCAGCATGCAGCAAAAGCACTCCTGTGTACCCAGCCTGGTTTCTCTGTTCATCACAACCAGAGTTAATCTAGGACAGAGCTCTCTTGCCAAAGTACAAGAGAAGGCAATTAAATACCTTAGAAAAGCACTGCTATGCACATGGCTGATACTATTCYCTTTGTATTAGAAACCAAGCCACACTAAGTAGCACTTCTTGTGTACACAAATAACACTTAAGATGGGTGTAGGCAGCTGCATTAGCAGGACAGTTACTCCTAATAACATTATGTGGGATATAGACGCAGATAAAGATAGTTGAAGGGAAGATTCAAAAATAGAAACCCTGCTAAAATACACAAAATTTAACACAGCGCTTTGCATTTAAGTGTTTAATGGAGTCTACTGATTTTTACTTCAAAATTTTGTTGCTGCAAGCAATCTATTTGTAAATAGTTATCCCCTCGTCACATTTCAGAAAATTCATTCTTTTCTAACTTAAGAGCATAACAGAAGACAGAAGGTGAATTTTGCAAAGAAGTTAGTCAAAGTAAATCCAACAAACCAAATACTTAAAAAAATATCAAGTCAAATTAACACCATAAGCTTGTATGACTGCTTGCTCTCAAATCTGCTAAATCAGCCTGCTGCAAAAAATCCTATTAAAACAGAAAAYGCTAAGCAACTTGGGCTTCTGAACCACATATGCCAAGAGTTTYCTCAGAAAGCAGGAAATAACAGTGACAGACAAACCCCCAAAAAAAGATTCTGCAGTTGATTTTTCAAAGCCAGGGTTCATAACTTCTATATAATTTCAGAATTAAAGTAATTCTGTACTGAAGACCTAACTCCATTTTTTTCCCTCACAGAAGCAATTTATTTGTTGCCATTTCTTACTGGTACATACATCATTCTTATGAATGGTGTAATATCCATCCTTCACTTTCTTTTTGCTAACTTTTATTCAACATGAATAACTACCAGTGGAATTACTCAGTTTCTGCTAACAGAAAAGAATATCACTAAAATGGAAAAGTACATCGTGCCAATACAGTGCCAATTCCTTTCCTAGGCACAAGACAGAAATTATCACATTCTGGTTTTTGCATTTCCTCCTCACTTRTTGCTACCCAGGTTTAACACATACAAAGAGACTTTCTACAGCCAGTCTGAAAATTCAATTTTCACCTCTAATCACTGCAATGCTTGAAATACTAGTTTTGCACTTACACTAAAATAAGTCAGTGAAACAYCAGAATTCTGCATWTCCATAATYAAGAAYCAACAGYWTTATACTAGTGCAAGGATGTGTACMCCATGTACAATTTAATAATGAAGTGTTTAAGGTAAGATGGAGCAATACAAGCATATAGACAACTTCTGGCATGCATTTCTGTAAGTAAAGAGGATGAATGAATCATTGTTCACTTACATAAACAGAATTTTAAAAATAGCTTTATTTTATTTCCTGATCAGAAAAGGGTATAGAGGTAACATAGACATTTTTAATAATGAATGAATTATGTGTTTAACTCACCTCCAGAAGCCCATTGAAGTATTTCTTGACCTTATTCTTGTACTCCACCTTTAAAAGAAAAAAAAAGAGCAACAGTTGTCTAGTCCGGATGAGTCTAAGCTGCAGTCACAGCACAGCTCTCCAGAGCAGTCCCTTTTCAGAACAGGCTTAACCCTGCTGGTTGTCTCATGAACATGCAGATCACAAGCTAAAGCCCCATGTAAATGCAAATCTTATTCAAATCTCAGGCAGCTGTCAGACAGTTTAGAAACAGTCAGATCAGGCAATGCTGCCAAAGGAYGGATGCTCTGGAACTGGCCTCTGGGGCAAAGAAGCAGGCTACACCTTCTTCTGGTACACCTGTAATTTTTAAGGGTTGTTTGGCAATTTTGTCCCACTCCCTCCTATTTCTACAATCTGACATTTCTCCTCCAGTTTCACAYACAAGAACTTTTGAGCTCTTAATATATCATTTACTAGTCAATATTAAAAAAAAACTGATGGGATTTTAAAATTTTTTCAGTTGAAGTAGGTTAGAAAAGAGAAATAGCTTTCCTATTCACACATTTCTTGCTGACCATTAGGGAAAAGAGCAAGTATGCCTTTTGGAGCAATTTAATACTATACATGAGGCTAAGTAAATTGCTCTGAAAAAAAATGTTTTAAAATGAATTAAATGGGTAGCAAGGTGAGTAGACAAGAGAAGGAAATATCAGAAATCAATCTTCATTTAGCCTACTGATTTACAAGAGAGTTACTGGTTTTTGACTGTGTATCTTCAAATATTTTATGACTAATTCTATGCTGAGAGCTGCAGACCTCGATTATTCAATGATTCAAGTACTTCTTAACAAAAGTGATAGGGTAAGAGATAAAAGGCACTCTCCTGGCAGGCAAACTTTCTTCTCCCACTCTAGCTCAGTCCTGCTGGTTTAATTTCCATTCCCCAGGGCCACATGTAACAGCTGTCTGTGTTCTGATCTGATCCTATCAGCAGCACCTTTACAGTTTTCTGATCAGGAACACAATTCCCAGGATAGTTTCTCTCCCTTAACCCAGTTAATACCCCGACAATTCCAGCCAGTTACTTACACAGAACCATTTCTTCGCCCACCACGTTGCACACTCAGGCTGAAAGATGTTCAGGGCCGCTCACCTTCCGCAAACACATTCTTAGGTGGGTCAATACTACAGAGAACATTTAAATAGCACACTGCAGCCTCATGGTTCAGACCCTCGAGAGGCAGGGCAGGCTCTGGCAGCACTGTGTGGAACCATTCCCTGTCACCGCTGTCCCCTCCCTACGGGCCCGACCCGCCGCACACCGGGCCGGTCCCCAGGCCTGACCGCCCACCCCCGCTACGGCCCAAACGGGCCCTGAGGGCGGCGGGACAGCGGGGCTGCAAACGGCCCCACCCGAGCAGGGAACAACGGCCGGCAGCCACAGAGAGCAAACTCCTCTCGCGTCTTTCTCCTGCTCGCTGCTCGCCCCTCCTGGCTCCCCGCTCGCCCCTCCTGGCCCTCCACCCTCTGTCCTGCTCGCCCCTCTCCCCTCCTGTCCCACCATCCCCTGTCCCGCTCGCCGCTCTCCCCTCCCGCCCCGCCGCCCTCTGTCCTGCTGTCCCCTCTCCCCTCCTGTCCCACCACCCCGTGTCCTGCTGTCCCCTGTCCCTCCCGTCCCGCCGCCCCATCCCCGCACCGGCCGCTGCCTCCGTTCAAACTCGGCTCCGCGGCACCGCCCAAGTCTCGCGAGATCCGCTCCTCCCGCGCTCCGCCTCCCGCGCAGGGCGGTACCGTGAGGGTCCCCGTGAGGGCGGGCTGTGCTCGCCGCTTCAGAGTGCTCGCGGTGACGCTGTTTCAGGGCTCATCTCGGATCGTGGCCGCCTCCTTCATTGGTGTTAAGTGCCACAGCGTTGTCCCGACCGTGGGCGCCCAGTTCGCACACCAAGGAGAGCGGTTTCTGTGTTTGATTCCAGTTTGTGCGAAGT